TGTATCTTTCTTATACCTTTACAGGCTTTTCCTTCTTACGGTAAGGAAAATTTTCTTCAAGGATTTAGTTAAAATATTTTCTGGACTTTTGAACAGGATTCGTCTATTATTTTTAGGTTTGGGCTTTTCATAGTGTCCCAGATTTCCTGGATGTTTTGTGTCATGAATTTTTTTTATTTAACATTTTCTTTGACTGGTGTATCAATTTCTTCTACCGTATCTCCTATCCCTGAAATTCTCTCTTCCATCTCTTGTCATCTGTTGGTGATGCTTGAGTCTGTACTTCCTGTTTGCTTACCTAAATATTTCATCTCCAGGATTCCCTGAGTTTGTGTTTTCTTTATGGCTTCTATTCCCATTTTCAGGTTTTGAACAGTTCTGTTCATTTCCTACTCCTGTTCATTCATTTTCATTTTTTTTCTTGGCTTTCTTAGTTTCCTTTAAGGGATTTATTCATTTCTTCCCATTGTTTGTGTTTTTTCTGGATTACCTTAAGGAATTTATTTGTATTCTCTTTAAGGACCTATATTATCTTCATTAAGTTGGTTTTAAGGTCATTTTCTTGTGCTCTAGCTGTGTTGGAACAGGTCTTGTCATAATAGGATAGCTGGGCTCTGGGAGTGCCATATTGCCCAGGATGTTGTTGATTGTGTTTTTACACTGGCGTCTAGGCCTGTGGGTTTAGTATGAATATAGGTGTAGATACTGATGTTTGAGTTTGTCTTTGTTGAGTGGATATTTTGTTCCTTGGTTTCTGTTTCCCCTGGTCTTCTGGTTTTTATGGTCTGTGTTTCTGGCAACCTGTGTGATGCTCCTGATCACTGGATATCTGCCCGTGTAGGGACTAGAGCATGTCAGTGAGGACAGGTGGAAATGGATGTCAGTGGCTTGAGTTTTTCGGCTATGAACTGAGTGCTTGGGAGGATTCCAAGGACAGGTGGGCCTCTTATCTGTTCTCTGTTTTGTCTGTTCTTTGTACTTCATTTTTATTAATACCAGTGGTAGCCTGATAAAACATGATAACTGATTTTATATAAGAGCCTATATTAAAGCACCTTTAGTGATTTTTAACCAGATAATCATTAATAAAATAAGCTGGTATTGTGTGTCATGGTTTTAAATCTTGAAATTTCAGAGATCATTGAAAAGTAAATGTTTGTCCTCACCAGCTCTACTTTATAACCCCAAGATCCCAGATAACTGTCAGGTTCTTAATTCATTCTGTCCATTGTGTAGGGTAAAGAATGCCATCTTTTTTTTTTTTTTTTTTTTTTTTTTTTTTGGTTTTTACAAGACAGGGTTTCTCTGTATTGTTTTGGAGGCTATCGGTCCAGCCCGGCCTCGAACTCACAGAGATCTGCCTGCCTCTGCCTCCCGAGTGCTGGGATTAAAGGCATGTGCCACCACCGCCTGGCTGCCATCTTTTTAATAAAGACCTCAACTTCATGATGGCATGGCCCTGTATAAAAAAAAGTGCTTTTGTTACGATGTTCTGAACACACATCACAGAACAGGAATGTGTAGTCTCTTCCCACCCCAAATAGTTCTTCAATTGTCAGTAGACCCAAATTGGGGTGCTACAACTTAAGTCAATTCAGACCAAATATATCTTTAGTTAGAATCAGAAGGCACACGTAAGGGCTAAGTCCCACAAAACTGCCCTTTAACTAGGAATTCACTCTTAAAGTTTAATGTTGTTGTTGTATTTGTTTGGTTTTGGTTTTGATTTTGGTTTGGTTTGGTTTGGGGTTTTTTGTTTTATGTTTGTTTTTGCTTTTTTCTTTTTGTTTTTTTTTTTTGTTATTGTTGTTGTTGTTTATTTGTTTGGAATGGCTCAGAGAAATTGGGAAAGGGATGTAAGTTATATTGCAAGGACAGAGATGAACAGCCATGTGAGGAGGCCTGCGGGGAGAGGTATTTCCAAAGGGACATGGAATCCCAATGCTTCTCTGCTGCACTCCTCCCAATAGCTTTGTACAGTCAGCAGTTGGAAGCTCTATGACCCTGTCCTTTGTGGGTTTTATTGGAACTTCATTCTGTAAGCATGAATGATTATGTCATTGTCCTTGGGTAAGTTTCAGCCTCTCTCCCCTTCCCAGAGGGAAGAGTCACGTGGTCACCTCCCCCTGGTATACACCTCTTCTGAAGCTATGCAAGAATCCTCGGTCATAAGTTTTCTTATTAGTATTCAAAAAGACACTTTGGCTTTGGTCACATCAAGCCTCTTAAGAGCTCTGTGCCAGGAGTTGATTGACTATCAGAACATCAAATACACATCTCTCAGCATAAATCACATTATAACTGGGGCCATAAGAGTGATGATGCATTTTTTTTTCTTCACTCTGCATGACTTTTCAACAAAAACTCTTTTTGGATCTGCCTGCTTCTGTGACATTAAATACTCAGAAAAATGGAAAGTAGTAGTACATTCCTCACTAAGAACATTGAGAATTAAAGTTTCATTTTGTTTAATAAAAAAATCTGCCAGAAAGAATTTGACCATAGAGTCACAAGACCCAACATCTTAAGTGTCCATGTCCAACATTTAATTCTTTGTCATCTAATTGTCCTGGTATAATTCTAGAGTAACTCTCAGATGAAGTCCCTCTCCGGCGTCACTTCTTCTGGGTCACTGCCTCTAATAGTGTCGGCAGTCCTGTGGTCAATTATTTCTCCTATAGTTTCCTCACATTCTGTTCAAATGCTTCGGGGTTATTTCCACAGTACACTAGAAGTTGCTGTTGTACTATACTCATATCTGGGATACCATGTATGTTGTACATATGTCACTCCATGTGTAGGATAGTGCAAGCTCATATGCACATATGAAAACCAGGTCAGCCCCAGGCGTCTTTCCTCAGAAGCTATGTGCCATGTTTTTGGAAGCACGTGCCAATAGTTCACCAACTAGGTTGACTGGTTGGTCATTAGGCTTGAGCAGTCTTCCTGTCTCTGCATCCCCAGTGCCAGGATTACCAGTATTCCCCACAGTGCCTACCTTTTGATGTGGGTGCCAGGAATTTAACTCAAACCCTCACGCTTGAATGACAAGCACTTTTCAAGCTGAACCATTGTCACAGACCTAGTAGTAGGGTTTTAGCAATCATATTGTTTTGCCTAAGTGTCTACCTACTTCTGGCAGACAAGGAACCAACAGAACTACCTGTTTTGCTGTCTGTGTGTGAACTTGCCACAAAGGTACATGACTAGTCACAGTGGGACTGCAGGAGTGATGCCTGATCATCCATCCTGACACTCGTCATTGTTCCCATTGTGGTTTTTAGATGGAAGAAACTGAGATGCTCCCTGCAGTCAAAAAACAAGTAGCTGAGATCTGAATGGTGTTGTTGAGGGCTTAGTGTTGTCTAGTGAAACATGATAGCTTTATAATAGGAACCCTCAAGTCGACAGGTGCCTTGCTGCCATCAAAACCTGACCTCTGAACATGGATATGAAAGAAAGATCGCAATTTACTTTTTATTTTGTTTAGTGCTGTCTTTAACACAGCTAAATATACAACTGATTTTTTTCTTAACTATCAAAAAAAAACACCCTCATAGCTCTAGTCTATTTTCTGACAATATGGCCCCAGGTTCTTGACAGATACTTTTAGTTCTTGTAAGGCTCATAGGCCTGCAGGGTGGTGGGCCATGATGACGCTGGACAGAAAGACACTAGCTATCTCCTGATCTCTGGACTGGGCTTGGCTTCCTATTAATATTCATACTGTTAAACTCATTCTGCCATTCCTGGAGTGCAAGCCTTGGTGACCTACCTTTTCTGTGACTTTCCATCCTCAGAGCACAATTTGCCCATTTCTTCCTTCCTTTGCCTGGGAGGTAAATGAAACAGCTTTGCCTTTGGGGCTGTGGTGGTCTTTGGAATTTCACAGCCACGCACCTAGTAAGTGACAGAGCCAGGACACAAAAGTCTGACTGCTCTCAGCTCCGTGCTTCGTGGTTTCGCCGGCGAAGGGATTGAAGTGAGACTCATTGAAGCTAGTGAGTTTTAGGGCATAAGAGAGGAAGCTGATTCCTCAACCTTACTCCAAATAGTTCATCTTTCCCTGTGCAGTGATGGCCACCTCACCCTTGGGAATTCCTTCCTGCTAACAGTGTACTATGAGTGACAGCTTCAGTACTGCTATAACTTACGCTGGACCAGAGCCTCTTTATCTCCAGTCTATGCCAAAAAGTGATGGTAACATCTTGTTTCCTTGTGATAATTCCAGAGCACATCCCCACAATTTCTTTCCAAGGATGGGCTGATATGGCTGAGTGCTCAGTGCTGGGGACTAGAACACACTGAAGAGCTGCACCCACTTGAAGACAAGGCCTCTAAAGCCCATTATGTCAAGAGGCACTGAAATCTAAGCCATGGTGTAAAACTTGGTATATTTTTGTAATACTGTGTAATTCAAATGGCAAAGACTTCTATGCTGGCTGTGCCCTGCCTGCCAAGTGGGAATAATGGTTTCAAACAAGTTGTAAAGTCATTGCTTCAGTCCCAGATTTCCTGGCTGAGAGAACATTCCTTGGTCTCTCTGTGAGCCTCTGTTGGATTTTAAAGGTAGATGTCATATACAGTTGTTAAAGGGGGTCTATTATTGGGAGCCTAATCTCTAAGGTGCTTAGTAAAGTCTGGAGAAGTTCATCCCTCATTCTATCCTGCCCTTTGCCCCCTTGCCTTCTACCCCTCTAAGTACATACAGGTGCTCACTCAAAGCCTCCTGCTATCAATGACATCTAAGTTGTAAACATACTATCATTTGTGTCACCCCAAGTGGTCCAGATAAATAACGAGTGCATCCGTGAACATGATGGTATTTCATTCATTTCATTGTATTCACTAACTAGATTGGCATACTAGGTTGACATATAGTATTGCGCCATCCTAGTTTAATAATACTTGGTGAATTCGGACCTGTGGCTTCTTCAAAAATTTTCTTTATCATGTAACCTGTTATAATATCTAAAACCACTGTGTTTTTAACTTCTCAGCTTGTCTTTGTTAGAAGAATTTGACTGCAGCTGCAATGAGCTGGAATCCCTTCCTTCTACCATTGGCTACCTGCACAGCCTGAGAACCTTAGCAGTCGATGAGAATTTCCTCCCAGAGTTGCCCAGAGAAGTGAGAAGCAAGCTCGTTTCTATCAATTAACTTTGAATGACTCTGTTTTGAAATGAAATCCTAACAGGTGCAATCGCAGAGTGGATTTATGACTTGCACTGTGAAAATATGTAGGAATTGCCTGTTTAGATAGATATACACTAATTGCTTTTTTTTAGTGGTAAACTCCGTATAATGCACAGAATAAATTTTGCATGTAGAGAATAATAAGAATGTGTTTATCAATGCTAAGGGATGCAATCTTGAGTCATTTATTTATCTTGCTTTTAAGAATAGCTATACAGAGCACTTGGGATGATTACATTCCTACTTCTGAAGTAAAGGATGGATTTTTACTATAAATATGTCTGTGAGGCTTGATATTTCTTATAGCATTATTTTAGTTTCTGGATATATGAAGAGATTCTTTCAATTTTCATCTCTGAACTGAATTTTATCTATTAGTGTTCAGAAAAAAATTAAAGTGTATTTTCAGTCTAAAACTTTCTACTAAAAATAGTTACATCATTATTGTGGGGTCAAAAATTATGAGTAACAATGGCAAGTACCATGTAATGTAACATAAAATAAGGTTTGCTAAGGAACTGTCAAGAGTACTGTTGAATATGTGTGCTGTCCTGTTTTAAGCACGAGTAATCAGTTAGAAAAATAATATTACTTATGAAAACAACAGTGCTACCAACAAGTGTTTAAACATTTACATTATTTAAAATAATTATTGTTTAAACGTGTGAGAGAATATGAAATATGTGTTACTGTCATATCTAGAAGCATGTACCACCATAAAGAGCAAGATTATAAAAAGCGTAAGTCAATAAGTACACTACACTATATGTGTTAAGAGACATTAAAATGGTAACGGAATCTCTAGGCACACCTTCACTATCTCAGAGCGCAGGAAGACCACCTCAAGTTCAAGGTCACCCTGACTAATACTGTGAGTCTTGGGTTAGCCTGGACTACAATGTGAGACACTGTCTCAAAGAGAGAGAGAGGGAGAGAGACACAGAGACAGAGACAGAGACAGAGACAGACAGAGAGACAGAGAAGAGACAGAGGGGGGCATATCTGTTACCTAAATTAACTTGTACACTAGAGAAACTAATATGCAGTAACAGTACTCTGCGGTTCCTTTCTAAAATATGCTTTTGTTTATTCTTCAAGAATTTCACACAATAGACAGCCCAACGTTGCAAACCCCACTTCCTTTTGCCACCTACAGATTGGCAGCTGTAAGAATGTCACTGTTATGTCTCTACGCTCCAATAAACTAGAATTTCTTCCTGAAGAAATTGGACAGATGCAGAGGCTGCGAGTCTTAAATCTGAGTGATAACAGGTATGCAAATTATTTGATAAGAGTAAATTATAGAGCCAGGTGTGGTGGTGAGCACCGTTAATCGCAGAGGTTAGCCTGGTCTATGTAGTGACCAGACTGGCAAAAAGAGGCAGTTCCTCAAAAGTCGCATCTGAGCAGCCTTAGATAAGATCTTTAAACAACTTCTTACAAGCTGGATTAGAGAGGTGGACTTCTACTGGTTGCAGGGCAAACACCGTAGGAAGATGAATTCCTATGGCCTCAACAACACCACAGGGGAAGCATCACAGGATCTGTTTATTTGAGTGAGGCCAAGTGCTTGTCAACCTAGAAAGGGGGTCTTCATTACAAGCTATAAAAGTCTCTCCTAAATACTTACCTTCCCTAAGCATTCTGAATGATTGCATGGAAAATCAGCTCACCAAACATCACAAATAACCCATAATAGAAGTATTGATATGTTGGTGGTCCTTACCTAGCAAATCTAGCACACGTCAGAACCTCCCATAGGTCAGATACATTTGTGGATACTGAGGAAATACTCGAGGCTCACATCAAAGACTCACAAAGCCAGCAGTTTAAAAAAAACCTCATCAGAGGAAAAACATATATATATATACATACATACATACATGCATATATATATATGTATATATATATGTAGAGAGAGAGAGAGAGAGAGAGAGAGAGAGAGAGAGAGAGAGAGAGACATCCTGTAACACGGTAACTACAACATACACAAATTAATAGTTTCGGCTAAGTATCCATTAGTGAATCAAGCTGGGGGAGGTAGACGATGCATAGTAAAGTCTGAGGCCAAAGCTAACATTGCTTACAGGACTGTGAGAGGTGCCATCTTTACGTAGTGAACCATTTTGATTTTGTGTTTGGCAGAGCCTGGCATTGTAGCTGGGAACAGTGGCTATTTTATTCTGTCAGCTACAAGGTTGTGCCTTACCCGGTGCCCTGATCATCCATCAGAGATCACTGAGGGAGGACAGAGCAACAAGGTCCCAGCTCTCCATCACATTCTCCTTTCTGTACAGAGCATTAGGACTGCATCATGATGACTCCTCGGGGACATGGATGAACACGACATGGATATCAGTCGAGTCTCACTGATGTGGCTCTCGGTGGCAGCCTGTTATTTAACTGAGTATAATACCAAAAAACGCTACCCCACCCCATAAATCTTACTCTACAATTTCTACCATAAGTGAATTTGAACAACCTGTGTGGGTAATTTAGTAATTCTGCCAAGAAATAATAATGGTATAAGTCAGTACCTGCTTTGTGCTTTTTATTTATGTTTTACAGACCTTCATTAGTTCATAAAATTTAAAAGGTGGTCTCCCCACGAGCTCTATCACATACCCTTGACACACTGGTGGTCAACCTCTTTTCATATTTATTAAATTATCTTGAAAGTGTCTGATTGCTTTTGGACATAAGTTAAGTCCTTATTAATCATCATAACATTTTGCACTTCCTTTTTTAAAAGTGCACTTGTCAGTTGGCTAATAGGATCCCAACGTATAAAAGGCTTACAGAAATTTTCATTACAAGCTGTGTAGAATGTATGTTCAGGGATAAGCCTCCTGAGGATGTCATTGTGCCTGTTTGTGCCGCTGGCTCTGAAGCTCAGAGGATGACAGTAACCGAGGTATCAAAGTGTGCTGACAGCACGCTGACTCAAAGACATCAAGAGCACACTGACATAGGCATTTGTCCGTTTGTCTTTCCGAAGGCAGAAGCAACATGTTTACAGGATGCTACAACCAAGCCCAAACTTCACATATCTCCAAAATACTATTTTCTTTTTGTTGCTTTTTTTTTTCAAGACAGGATTTCACTGTATTGCTTTGGAGCCTGTCCTGGCACTCGCTCTGTAGACCAGGCTGGCCTTGACCTCACAAAGATCCACCTGCCTCTGCCTCCTGAGTGCTGGGATTAAAGCATGCACCACCAACACCTTCTTGTAATGTCTACTGTGCAGTCACATATAAAAGCTGTGAAATATTCTGTGCAGGCAGTGCAAGGCGCTCTGAGACTAGACTGAGTGAAGGAACTTAGGTGGGACCCAGGAAACCCTACTATATGAGGAAATGCCATTTAAAGAACTGTGGGATTCAATCAAGTGAAGCATAGCAAGAAGAATATTCCAGAAGGGGCCAAGCTGAAATTTCTTCCAGTTCGATAGAGCGTCATTGTGCACTCTAGGTATTAGAAGAAGAAAAAAAAGAGGATCAATGCTGGAATGTGAGAACAGCTGTAAGGGTTTTGGGATTTTAGTTTTATTTTTTATTCGTGTGTGTGTGTGTGTGTTGTGTACACACACACGCATGCACGCCAAATGTATGAAGGTCTACTGAAGCTGGAGTTAAAGAGCTCTTGTGAGCTGCCTGGTGTGAGGTCTGTGAACTGAACTCATGTTCTAGGGGGAGAAACAAGTTCTGTTAACTGCTGAACCGTCTCTCTAGTACTAGGGTGCACATTGTAGAACCTGATTGTGGGTACTAACAGGATTTTTATTTTATTTAAATACTATGGGAAGCATTTGAAAAATTAGAAAGATTTTTGTTGTTTGGGGCCTGGAAGATGGCTCAACAGATTAAGACACTTGCCTCCAATCCTGATGAACTGTGTTTGATCTTCAGGACCTACATGGTGGGAGGGGAAAAAAACACTCCTGGAAGTTGTCCTCTGACTTCCACATGCTCAAATACACAGAAATACACACACACACACACACAAATCACAAACACATACATGCTCACACACTCACATACTCTACACACACATGCTCACACACTCACATGAGCACATGCTTACACACCACACACACACGCACACACACACACATGCTCACATGAGCACACATGCACACATGCTCTCACACACACACTAATAAATAAGAAAAGACAATTTTTCATTCTTTTAAGTTTAGGCACTCAAGAGAAAGGATTGACGAGAGGCAGTGAATCAACCCATTGGTGTGTTTAAATTTTCTTAGAAATGAGCTTTGCTGTCTGTCTCTATGCTATGAGACATCTCTTGTCTCTACAGGTTGAAGAATTTACCATTCTCGTTCACCAAGCTCAAAGAGCTTGCAGCATTGTGGCTTTCTGACAATCAGGTAAAGAAAAAAAAAACTTTAATGCCCTAAGTTACCACACTCCTTAGATGAAGTGTAATTGGAACTTTGTGCTCCTGAGTCCCAGTAGACACACTCAACAACTATTATAAAATATAGATTGTTTTATGCCTAAGAGGAGGTTTTTCACAAAAGTTCCATCACACATTGCGTAGGTGAAACAGTGCCCTGGTCTCTATGTTCCTCAATTACCTCTGTCCCATACCTATGTCATCGTCAGAGACCCATCACACAAATGATGGTTTGTGTGGTTTTTCAGCTCCTGGTGGTACATACGTCCTTAGAGGACACACTTTAATTATAGCTGTGAAGGTAAAAACTAAAAAGCCATTACCACAATCCCCACAAGAGGGAATTACCAGCCGCTATCTTCCTTTTTCCTTACTGTTTTTAATTATGCTCAAATTAATTCTAAAACTTTATTCAAAACCTTTCCTGGTACATTGATAGCTATCTTCAGTATTTTTGTGGTTATCTTGATATTTTTGTATACTAATGAAAGTACATTATAATGGAATCAAGGGTTGCATGTTAATAAGTTTTATTAACTGGAAAATAGCAGGAAACAAAGACACATGCTTTGCCTCCAAAGAATGTGGGAGACATTTCAACAGAGTTTACTACTAATCATTTTTTTCTTATGTTTCTAAATCTTTGAAAAAACTATGCACCTTCAGTTCAATATATCAATATTCCCTGGACATCAAGTTTCTATTTCTAGTTATTTGGGTGCTTTTATTACAAGTTACAAAATGATTCCTACAAATCTAAGGTGTGATCATAAGAGTGTCAATGTGTCTTCAGTTATTCACAGCTCTTGATTCCACCTGCTGGTAAAAGGTTGGATTGCCACTCCTGCTCTGAGGGACACCTCCACATTTCGAGAGTCTGTGAATTCTGCTGCTGGGGTGGTAGCCTTACAGCATGAAATTTCTTAACATCACAAGTATTATTCTGGTGGGGGAATAACCATAAAAGCCACTGCACCATTTAACTTGAGTTGTGGCAGTATCTCTAGACAGCTTCATGAGACCCTCGCTTCCTTCCTACTCATAAATAGTATTTACACTCTTCCCGTGGAAATAATACCTGAGTTACAAGCCTCCAAAAGTAGTATTTCTGATGTCAAGTCAGTAGGGACAATGAAACACACACAGCGCAAGAATGAGGTATGTGCGCAGCTTTTATTCACACGTGGGCTGTGCCTTGCTCGGTGTGAGCAGTGCAGGCACCACAGGTCTGTCTAGAACACAGCCTCAGAGAAGGAATGCATGCCCTGGGCCACACCGCTCACTCAGCTGAACAGTTTAACACACTCCTGCCTCCTCAAGATTAGAACTGAGGTGCACAGTTGAACAGGCTTTGGTAAGCTTTTTAAGAGTATACCAGAGACCAAACATCAGGAAACCTTAAAATCCGGAAAGAGTCTCAGCGGTGTCTATAGTATGTCATCTTATCCATTCGTCGCTGGGAGGTCAGATGGTTATCTGTGTTCCTAACTGGTGCTCATTGCTTCCAGTCCAAGGCCCTTATCCCTCTACAAACAGAAGCCCACCCGGAAACCAAGCAAAGGGTACTGACAAACTACATGTTTCCCCAGCAACCCCGTGGTGATGAAGGTAGGTTGTCTGCAGATGCATTCTTTAATCTTTAAAGATGTTGTAGATTAAAAGGATTTTTTTAATTCTAGTTTCTGTCCAGGAATACTGGTTCACAGGCAATAAAAGAACACTCCATAGCACTCCATCTGGGAGTTTGAGTCTCGATGCTGTAATATTTTAAGGTTCCAAAAGTAAGGCTCCTCCGGGAGAGATAGCTCAGCTGGTAAAGTGCCCACCATGCAAACGTGACAGTCTGAGTTCAGTCCCCACCATCAGTGTGAAAATCCCAGCATGGTGACACATAACCCGTAATCCCCATGCTGGGGAGCAGAGACGGGAGGATGCCTGTGCTTGCTGTTTAGTCAACCTAGCCTAATGGGTGAGCCTTAGTTCTGAGTGAGAGATTCTTCCTCAAAAGTTACGGTAGAGATCAAAGGAAGAGGACACCTAATGTTGATGTCTGGACTCCACTTGCATGTGCGCATGCGTGTACCCAAATGCACATGACCATACAGGTGCATGCATGCAAACATACCCACACACATGCACACGCACACACATGTACATTCATACTCACACACACATTCACACTCACACACACATTCACATGCACACACATGCATGCATGCACATGCACACACGCACACACATTCACACACTCATGCACACACACATTCACACTCACACACACGCACACACACATTCGCACTCATACATGCACACACATGCACACACCACCACCAAAGAGACAAGTCTTCCTCCTTATGGCACACAAAGAATAATGTAAACACTCTAGAGTGACTTCTTCTCTAAGGGTTAGACTTCAGGTTGCAGGACCTGGTCGTCAAATGTTGCACCCAGTGACTGGCGGCAAAAGGAGAGGGTTTAGAGCTGAAGAAGGACTAGCTGGAGAGGGCCGTCTCTTGTGCCTACATATTGCACAGCATATTTGAAAGATCAGGGCAACAATCTTGGACCCCTACGAACGTGTTAGTCATAGGACTTGACTTGCTATGATGATATTTTCATCTTTATATTGAAATTCCCTAAGCAGTATGAGCAGCTATGATTTAAAAAAAGTTTTTAAAAACCTTCACCTGTTACAATAAGTCTTCTAGCCTGTGATTGATTACACTACTATACAAAGCTTTGAGAAGGGCTTGCCTTTTCCTATTTGAATAGCACTGGCTGGTGTGTGTGTCCTACAAAGCTTTACAGAATGAGGGTGGTTCCTATGATGATGGACCCACTTTAATGCAGTCACAGATAAGCCCACCCTGTCTGAGGCCACCTTGCGAAATGAGCCATTTGCTTGTGTGTTACTCGTTTTCAAGAATAATGATCATAAATGGCTTCAGTCTTTGATTTTCAGATGTAAATGAATCCCTGGGGAATGTGTAAGGATGCTTTTATTCAAATTTTGACTTGCAGACAAATAAAAGGGCTAGGCTGTTTTGAAATATAATTTTCACATCTGAATAAATTGATCTTTTGATTTCATGAAAGAAAAGCCGCCACATTTTCGTATCATAAGGAACCAAGTAAGGACTGTTCTATTAACCTGAATTTATTTTTCTCTTCTTCGCAACATCCCTGAGTTTCAAAATAATGTAAAGAAAAGATAAGGAGTAACCCAGATCCACAAGCCATCCCTGAGATCTAGGGTGTCACCTAAGCCCCTGGTCAGGTCCCTGGTGTGAAGTCAGCAGTAAAGTGACCTGAGTTGCAAAAGCATTTGCCTTTACTGTCTTGAATTTTCTGTTTGCTTTTCTCTTGAGGACCTAAAATTTAGTGCAATAATTGAAAAATAATTCTTGAACTTCAATCCAGTCAATCAACTTCTGTTTGTTGAAAGAGAAAATAATAGACGGATTTTAAGAATTCTGTAAGACAGAGAAGTTTGGGACAAAGGAGAATTCTTTGGAAGGGGAGTTAGCTTCATCTAAGCACTTATTATCAGGTTTTCATGCAATTTCATGCAATTATGTTACAAAGCAGATTTTACCATTAGACAACATTTTTATGCAAATTAGTGATTTATAAACCGTCTTCCCTGCTTATTTGAGGCACCTTTGAATGAATTAAAACCGTGGTGCTAAAACCCGAATTCTCCATGCGTTCTCCACTTTAAAAATGAGATTACTCCAGTCACATACACCTCCCACATGCACACAAAGAACCAGCAAGACCATCAGAGCATAGGGCACTTTGCTGAAAAGTCATTGCTGTGTAGTGTCTTGCTCTCTTGCAATGTGACACCGGCTCTGTAGTCACCCCCAACATGGGGTAGAGACCTGGGACCTGAGAGACCTGGAGCAGAATCTTCATGACAAAGACGGTGCTAACTAACGTGAACCCTCCACTTCTGTGGGGGAATAGCCAATACTGGAATGCTTCACCCAATCTCCACGCTGTCGCTATTAGCCCAGAGGAACCCATTCCTATGCTAGGAAAGCTCCCAACCCTCATGACTAACAGTAAAACACACAAGGCAATAAGAAACACCAAGAAGAAGGTTCTGCTTTCCACTCCCTGTCCTTCCCGCTGCCCTCTCCTCCCTCTCCCTCGGTATCTTTTCCCAGTCCTTTTCAACGTGTTTATTGCATTGATTGGTGGTGCTTGCTGTCTCTTTTTCGCATAATATATTAGACTTTACTAAATGCATCGTGTACGTAAAGGAAAAGAGAAAAAGCATTAACGCTTTGGACTCCGTAGATTTCCAGTCAGACAGCGACAGCTTCAACCCCACGCTGTGGGAGGAGCAGAGACAGCAGCGCATGACTGTTGCCTTTGAATTTGAGGATAAAAAAGAAGATGACGAAGGTGCTGGGAAAGTTAAGGTGAACTTTTGGCCTTTGCTTCTCTCATCGTTCTGTCTGTCCACTGTCACTATTCAGGCAGAGAAGGGATCCGGGATCCACCGTGTGACCTCCCTGTGGGGCCGTGGGGGTGGGGGGGTCGTAGTCATTTTCTAGTCTCATGGAGAGGCCCCGGTATTGAGGGCCAGAGTTTGGGCAGCATTGGTGTGATTCAGAAAGAGTCGAATGCCCCAGTTCTGACTGAGCAAGTCTGATTTCCACCCCCCCCGCACCTCCCCTCCAGTATAACAACGTGCAAGAGATTCAAGATGAAAGTGGGGGGGGGGGGGGAGTCTAGGTGATGAACCTCACCTAAGTCTTCATTCATCTGTAACATTCTACGGTAACCCTTTTGGTCACTGGGTCAGGCCCCCCCGTGCAGATAGCACCAGCCAAAATACACATTTGCGGGAAACAAGCTGATTGGCATGCTACAATGGTGTTGTATCCCCTAAGTCTTCTACAGAGCTGGGGTATTTTGAAAGGAACTTTTGTTTCCTTAGAGTTTTAAAAGGGAGGTGAGTGTCCAAACACAAGTGAAGATATTTAGGCAAGGTGATTTCTTTATTTTAACCGTATTTTTAAGAAATCTTTTATCGTCACTAACATGAATGAAGAAACAAGGCTAAACATTTAAACCTGTATATTTCCACCATTTAAATGTTCAAATGTAATAATTGGCTGACATTTCATTAACATGTAGTTTTTCACGTTATGTCATGGTGGCACCTTGAATCTCTCGTTAATTCTTAAGTTATTTGTGCAATTTTTTAAAAACGTGAATACTAACAGCTTTCACTCGTAGTGACTAACGACCTAAGTAACTATATATGCATCTTATTAATAAATCAAGATTGTGTGATGTGTTCCCTGTCCCTACCTTACCACATTTTCTAAGTGTCACTTCTTCAACTGTCATTCATGATGACTGTGTCATTACAGAAAACTCAAAGTGGAGCCATAAATCCAAAATGACACACTTTCTTTAAAAAAAAGTTCCATTGAAGAAACATTTATGGATGATTGAATATTGCTGTCTTATGACCAAAGAAACATGTTTTAAAACTTGCAAATTCTTAGGAAACAATTACATCAAATTTAATACAAACCTTTAAGAAGCAATTCAGTCCCAGTTTCCAAACTCTCTAAGGATTTTGTGTTAAATCAAGATCCAATGGGTGATGCATTCTGTGTTGGACTCTTGATTCATTTTTATATTTCATTGAATTGTCAAAATGACTACATGCTTCCTCCCAAAAATACATAATCAAGGATCGACATAGATGTATGTGTTGATAAAATCATGAAATATAGAAATGGAAGCAACAAACTAGAGACCCTGTTTGTGTGCTCATAATGGGTTCCATGTGCCTTAGAGTGGTTTGATTTTTCTCTGCATCAATTTACATTCACTTTATTTGTATTTTGGTGAAACAATATGTTTTTCCAAAATCTCAAACCACTTGGGCTTTGACTAATTTGGCTGTTCCCGATGCCGTTGGCTATCAGACAAATTAGAGAAAAAACACACGTAAGCCCATCATCGTGGAAAGATGATGGGGAACACCCCGGGGTCTTACCAGCTCCCATTCTTCTGGTTCATTACATGTACATTAAAATTAGCCCACTTTTTTAATTGACCGGAATTTAAAAAGCTTTCAATGGGACAAGAATATAAAGTCCTGCTTGGAGTGTGTACGGCGAGTGTGAGTGCTGAATTGTGTGAGGAGGTTGCCACCAGTGGCTTTATGTTTTATGACACGGAGTTAAAATTCATTGTTTTAAATGCATTGCCCAGAATGAAAGAGGAGGAAAAAAAACTATCCAAGGGTAGAAAATGATCAAGCGAACGTGTTGCTGCAGTGCTCCTGTTTCTCCCAGAAAATGGAGATTCCTTCTCCCACAGGCTCTCTCCTGCCAAGCCCCCTGGGACAGGGGCCAGCGTGGGATTACTCTCCAACCTGCCAGGCTGTCTGGCGATTGCTGCACACCATGGGCCAGGTGTGATCAGCAGATCCAAGATATGCCCGTCCCCCAGAGTGACCCCCAGCTGGCATGGGGTTGTATAAGTGGCCTCCAGCAGGACAGGAGCCTGTGTGCTCCATTGCCAGTGGCAGCACAGTCCACCACTCTTCCCTCTCTAAGTGGCAGACAGGTAGGCCTAGATGTCTGGGGTAGGAGAAGCCCAGTAGCCTTGGAACAGGGCTTTATGGGGTATGTGCTGCATGATTAGGGGGTGAAAACCGTCGGCCGCACAGCAGCCTTCGGATCGCCAGTGTCCGAATCCAGTTTGTCCTTACGATTACTGACACTGGGAAAGGGTAGGGAGGCCTGAGTCAGAGGGCGGGAACACCAACTTAAGGTGCCTTTTTGTGGGGTATCTGGCATGGCTTTTAAGTTGGGGCTTTGCTTTTGTTTACTCTCCTCTGGTCCTTTCTCTTAACTTGTGGGGGTGCTGCCGGTCGTGCAGAATGCTGACCAGATGCTGAAAGCAATTGGAACCGTCTTTTGAACAAGCACGCTTCTCAGGGTCAGCTTGGGGGGAAGACTAGATAAAACCTCACTTGAGAACACCACGCGCTGAAATTGAGATTGGCTGGGAATAGACTCTAAGCAGAAACTTCTGTCCAAAAGCAGCAATGTCCCTTAATTTGAAGATTCAAATTATATAAATTCCTGTAAGAGAAGATGGGGTTGGGAGTCGTGGCAGAGAGGAAACTCCCTTTCTCAGAGCTGGGGTCTAAGAGGATAAATGATAGGGGGGAAATGCGAAGGTACACGCTTATAGACGTCTCCACCCACATGTAATGGACTGGATTCTCATTCTGTGTCTTATATTCTTTCCACAATATAAGACAAGCTGAGAACGCACCTTCCTAACTAAAACTACCCTGTTTCCTTTTTTTTGCAAAATATCCCCATTAACTGCTAGAATAATATGATATTTAATAATCACTGCAAAACTCTATTGTTTCTCTTACTGGAATTTACAATCAAATTCAAATTTAATGAATGTGTAAAGCATATTATATTATGTGCATATAATATAATATTTGAGAAACAGTTCTGTCTGAATCCAAGACACCATTCCTGAATGCCCACACTATTATAAGCAATTTTTTCTTTACTGTACTGTCAGGGTCTCCAATGCCTTGAAGCTGCTATTTGCATTTATTGTACTTTGTTTAGATGTTAAGAGTCTTGTGAAGCATTTTGCCTCCCAAAATTAAAAATTTTTATTTTAGTAAAAATCTTGCTTTCTAATACAATGTGTGACATGAGCAAATACTTTATAGTGAGTGACAAATTTAACACTATTATCAGAATGCATTTTGTAGATTTGCCCACCTCTGTGCGTCAGAAATTCACTTGTGTCTTATGTCATGTTAAGATGGGGAATGTTTCTAAACCAGGTATTTAGAAACAAAGAAACTGCTTTTAGGTATGAATATCACTGAACTAGTAATATAACTCTTTATGACCATGTTGGCCAACTTCTGAAATACTGAAGGCAGGCACTGAGAAAGAAGGTTATCAATACATCTGTACAGACCTTAGAATAGAATTGGATTATAAAACACAGTTCCACTCTGGAAGAAATTATAAATTAGAATCACCTAGCTTTATTTTTTAAATTGCAATTATTTATTTAATGGCAAATTTTACATTTTAGTTTTATAGCACCTTTTCCACAAGGTCACACAATTCTCTGTCATAATATGCAAGAGGATATCTCTTAACTAAGTCGCCGTGGTGTGATGTAAACCTCAGAACCCAGAAGACTTAAGCTTTAACATGACCTCAGAGAAAAGTGAAGCAGTCCCATCCAGATACACACACCTTTTGTAAAGTGACAATGGCTGCTTTACGAGATTCAAACATACATTTACAAACTAATGACATTCTATAACACATAATATTTATCATTCCATATACATGGTAGTCTGTTTTTAAAACTATAGGAATCGTTATACATATTATTGCATAGTATATAACTAATCAATAATAAATTAAATATCCCTATAAAGCATTCAGCATGATGTCTGGGAACATAGTGAACACTGAATAACTGCTGCTATGTACAACTTGAAGGACTCAGCCTGTAGTTAGACATGTGGGGCAGAGTCCAAATTACCAAAGGACTCCAGAGCTTTTAAGTAAACAAGCAAGATCTGATATTGAAAACAATATAAATCTGGGTATGGTGGCATTCACCTTAGTCCCTGTATTAGGGAGGCTGAGCCAGCAGGACTGGGAGTACGAGGTCAACCTGAGTTATAAACCGAGATCTCTGCAAAGATAATACATTTTCAAGGTACCCTCACATTTATGTCATTTTACTTCTAAATAAATGCAAGCCCATGAGAAAGGCACTGGACTTCCATTGCGCAGAAGCAGAAGCAGGAGAAAGGGGTCCAGTTTCTACTTACAGGTAGACCTGTGACTTGAGTTTGTACTTCATGACCCCAAGCCCAAAGTTCTGTGAGAAGAAAAGCGCAGATGGGGACAAAGTGATCATTTTCTAGATGAAAAAAAAAGAAGTGTAATGATTCCTAAAGATTTCCGAATTTGGGGAAGAGCCATTTTAAGGGGAAAAATATATATAAGGTAACCCAGACAAATAAATAATTAAGCCACAACCATCCCATAGCCTTGAAAGTGACTAATATATATATATATATATATATATATATATATATATATATATATAGCCTTAGTCCTATTTATTTATTCACTCTATTCTCATTTATTTGAGAACATAAAAAAATAAATTAAAGTTACCTTAGTTAAACAAAATCTGGTTTCCTCTGCATTCCAAATATATACTGAAAGATAATTTTATGTTTTTAATGTCAAAAGAACATTAGGAAATACATAGTAACATCCAGCCCCGTTATCTGTTTAGGATAACAAGCCACAGTGAATCCTAAGAGTAACAACACATTGGTGAATTTGCCAAACCAGCAGATTAGCAAAAGGGTTTGAGTCCTTCATACTCTCCAAGCCTCTTCTACATGCCATGGGCCAGATGGGGGGTCCCTCACAGCTGCTTTCCTCTTCCTCCTCCATTGTCTCCCACCTCCTCTGCTCCCACCCTCCACCCTCACACACATGCTTCCCACAAGACATACCACAACCACTTAAGCCATTCCATTTTAAAAAGTTGATTCTACTCAGATTCAAAACGGCATCGCTGTTGGCACCAGTCAAACCGGGCATACCTATCTCTCTTTTTGTGAGTCCCTTCAGTCAGCATGAATGACTTGCATTGGATCTCTTTTAAATGCATAGTAATGAACACTCTCGTGGTAGAATATTCTACATGAGTGAAATCAGTACTAAGAAGTGTTCTTGGATGTTAGAACACACTAAGTGTGTTCTTGGAAGTTAGATTAGCACCTGCAAATGAATTTAAAGACGGGAAAAATATCTGGATAATAGCAGGTAAAACATGTACATTTGCCTAAAGCATATTAGAAAATAGTGACCTTTTTACTTATCTTATATAAGCTATTACTCAAGAAGCATATGACCTCATTAGTGTTAAAAAAAGTATGAAAGCCACCCCAAAGATTTTTTTTCTGAAGCATTAAAAAGTATAAGCCATCCTAACCTTTTGACACACCATGCTAGTTATAAATCCAGGCTAACACCTATTTGGCTTTTTCAATGACCAACTCTACTTGTAAATCTTCTGAGGTCTCCTCCCTCCCAATACCTGCACTGAACTCCAAGGACATTCTCACTACGAAAATTACTAAATTTCAAAACTATTAAACACCAAAGATAGGAAACTACTAATATGTAAGGTAGCTGATAATACATTATTCCTTTTTTTTAACATTAGCAGTCACTTGAGAGTCTTGTTTACTGCTATTACGCTCATCAAAATATAGAATATAATCTAAAACAATTGCTGATGATGTAGAATGGTGTGAAGGAGTCGGGTAGCCCCACAAGGCTTGCATAGGAGTCAAGCCCCACTCCTCACATCAGCGGCAGTTCTCTGGGCAGCTCAACACTCACTGTACTGCATTTGTCTTTGATGAAGCTTGTGCCGTGGAGTAGCTTGGTGAACATGCTTTCTGAAGTCGTTTTTATGTTAAATTTCTTTTTATAAACTTCTAGGTTGAAATAAACCTAAAACGATATCCAACTCCTTACCCAGAGGATTTAAAGAATATGGTAAAATCTGTTCAAAATATGGTGGGTAAGCCAAGCCATGGAGTGCGAGTTGAGAACTCAAATCCAACAGCTAACACGGAGCAAACTGTGAAAGAAAAGTTTGAACACAAGTGGCCGGTGGCCCCAAAGGAGATTACAGTGGAGGTATTTGGAGGTTATTGGTAATTGCCAGTGTGGTTTGACTTTTAGACTTCTGGGTGATGATGTTTCTTCTAACCGAGTAGATCTCTTTAGTGAGAAAATTACACATTATTTCCTCAAATAAAAATGACTCTTTTTTGAGATATGAGGGTTTCATCTAGTAAATCAAAGATGGGTACCACCCTCATGGCCAAAATGATTCCTATGTTAGCCAGGAATGTATTATACCCATGAGAATGTTGGCCATCCCAAATCTTATGATCATTTGCTGGGAAAACCAATGAGACATTTTCATTCAGAGAATCACAGTAAAATTCCTACTAAGTTTAGCATGAATTGTTTTTAGGGTTTTTTTTGTTTTGTTTTGTCTTTGTTCTGTTTTGTTCTTCAAGACAAGATATCTCTGTAAACAGTCCTGGCTGTCCTGGAGCTCACTCTGTTTTTTTAATGTTTTCGTGTTTGAGTTTCAGCCAAAACACATTTTTAACTAAAAAAAAAACTCAGGCTTGTGGGATCTGACCAGGAGAAGCTTGCTTCCTATATTTGAAAAATAAGCTACAAACTCAGTCTTATTGATTTTATGGTCTGAAAAGAATTCAACTACATTATGCCACCTCGACTATCTCATCAACTCTTCAACTAATTAGTTGCATCTTTTACTTTCACCAGAAGCACAGTTGGAGTGAGCATGTCTGGTCCATATTCTCTAAAACCTAGATTGACAAAACTCTTTTACAAATCTGCATTTCAAATAATCTATTTGTAGCATTTGAACACCAACTGCATACTGTATATGTAGCACTGTGCTAAACACTGTGAGAGAAATAAAATAAATGGAAATGTGTCCCAGGGTCCCAAGTGACTCAAAACAAAGTTGGAGAAACACATGAAGCGATCACATGATTTCCTGTTCTAAACTGGGGCTGAAACATATATTAAAGATGGCATAATACCCTTAAAATAAGAAGCAGTGGAGGATATTACAGAGAGAAGACCTTGAGCAAAACACAGCCACAGATAGATACTTGGGAGGCTGAAACAGTTGGGAGTTCAAGGCCAGCCTAGGACACACAGTGAGATCCTATTGTAAAACCAAAACAAAGCAAATATAGTTACAGATTGCAGACCCACCTGAAAGAGAAGTACACTTTCACACCCAAGGAAGTAAAACCTGGAGTGTTAGAGGATACACAAGCATAACTGAAGAAGTAAATCTCAGCTCAGTTTTCTTTTCTTTGCCTTACAAGTATCTCTGTGCTCCCTTTTCCCTGTGATACCACACTCCCATCTAAGATACCAGACTAGTACAGATAGGAAGAAATAGTAAGCGCACACTAAACACACACACACACACACACACTTTGTATTTAAACTTCACAGAATCACATCTTAGTATCCATTGTAGTGTCATGGTTATGAAAACCTAAAAGTGAATAAGTTCACTACAAATATGGGAAGATTTTATACTTGTTTAATTTGGGGATTAGATACATACAGGGGGAGAAAAATATCTGTGATCGCAAATGTAATAATAACCCCATGCTAGATAAAAATAAAGCTAAAGTCTTCGTATAAAGAACAGGCTAAAAATAATACATCAAAAATTAAATTTTACATTTCTTCCCCATACTTGTTCCCACTGCTGCCCTAGCCTTAATCTGATTTCATAACATTATCTACCAGCTCTTTGAGGCAGGAAATTGGGGTAATAATCCCTTCTTTCTCTTCACTCCTTAACCTCTCCAGATAGTCTCTCAAACCTGCACGTTTTTTACCTGTGTTTCCACAAGTCCTTAACTGTCAGCATTGCTACAAAGTCATTGTCTCCTTGCTTTACATTGTTGCCAGCCTCCTTGTTGCCTTGGCAACACTTTTCCTAAAAAAGGGTGTGAATCGAATCATTTCCTTGGCAATAGCTTCTTAGTGCTGGGAGAGAAGCCTGAGGTTCTTCATTAGCTGGAGAGGCTACAATGGAAACTGATTTCCAACTTCCTGTTCACTGTGTAACCTGCCCCTTCCCTCTCTTAGGCTTCCCCGTTGGCTGATGTGATCTCTGTGGAAAAAAAAAGAAATTACACTGGAGAAACCAATGTTTTCTCTGGAATCGAGACTCTGTACCTCCTTTTCCTTTTGGCCAACTTCATCCTTTTGGCAATCATCATCCTCTTGAACACAGCCAAAATTAAGGGCCACACTGCATTTTAATTCAGTGTTCCGGCTTAAATAGTGCGGACAACCAATTATCTTACTAATTATGAAAACTTAGCATTCATTACACATTTTACCTCTGTATATATTTTTTCATTTTTGTCTTTTTGGTACGAGTTTCAATATTTTAATATCAGCCCACACCAGCCACAGTCTCAAGATCTACTGCCTCTGCCTCCTGAGGACCGGGATTGCAAACTTGTACCACCATGATCTAAGGGGTATGCGTAGACTCTGCAGTAGAGAATTACGGACTTCATAATAAGATAAGCTGGGTGATTAGGCACCTTGAACGAGGGAGAGAAATGAATAATTAAGCTAAGCAAGACTGGAAAATGGAGAAAGGCACACAAGTATGATGATGCACTTGGAAGGTAAAGGCAGGAGGACTAGGAGCTCAAGATCACCCTTGGCTATGCAGTAAGTTCAAAGCTAGCCTACGAGACCCTATCTCAAAAAGGCAAAACAAAAATGGTAGCTTCATTTCGTCTACAGCCAAGTGAGTGAAAAAGGAAGGCCAGCCCCAAGGGACCACTTCCCATACTGTAGGGTCTTCACCTGAGCAATATTAAAGAACAGAGCCAGAGGGGCATAGGAACCAAGAGAGCTGATGGCAGGAAGACTTCTCCTTCCTTCACTTCCCCTTCATAATGCCCTCTGAAGTCTGCTCACTCTGCAGCACTTTGCATGGCTAGCATACCCTCACCCTTCAGACCTCTAAGGGTCAATGAGAAAAACATTTATAATGATTTTATATATTATCTTCAGACAGTTTCAGAGGAAAGGGCCATTCCTATCCTGTCTCATGTGTACAGATTCAAGTTGGGATTTTTGCACTGCTGCCAAAGCTATCGACTCTTAGTTTAAAAAAAAAAAAAACGTACTCCAGTTTTGAATTGTGACCTTTTGCTAGGCTAACAATGTGCTCTCCATACTCAACAACAAGCCTCATGCCCTTCATCAGCTGCAGAATCCCAAATGCACACCACATGCACTACAGTGTGTTGGGGCTGCTGTGCAGAGCAATGCGGAGTGTTAGGAATACCAAAAACATTTTTACCTTATTCTGGGTTTATGAATATAACAGCATCATAAACTGGTAGCAGCTGTATGCCCAGAGAAGGCACACAAATATTGTTGAATAAAACATCGATTAGCTAAACCTAGTGTTATAATCTGTCCCTCTGTCCAATTAGAAGTTCATGGAAGCCCAGATGAATTGATTTATCTTTGTTGGCTGCCTTCTCTAGTCACTGTTAACCTGAGCACTGGAGAAATTCCTAGCATATTTATGCCCTCGGCACCTCAGTGATTTTTGTTATAATGTCCATAGACTGAAATAATACTTAACATTCCCATAGAAGAAGCTAGGTGCAACTTAGCAAATATATCCTCCTTTGAGGTCATTGGAAAGATAAAATGGGTAGACTGGAAGAGAAAATGTCTTATCTCATTTTTTTAAAAAAATAGCAAAAGCCAAAATATTAAGATACATGTACTATCAGACACTGATCACTTTTTCTCAAAACTGGAAGCCATAGCAAACATGACAGCTCTCAAATGCCATTACACTAAGCATTCAAGTTTTACTTTTTGATCGTAGCAATCACCAAAATCCAACTTCATGAGAACTGACAGCAAGAATGTGCAACCAAACGTTGGGATCAAGTGTAACAGTGTTCTATCAGTTCACAGCTGTCTGGCTGATCACAAGCATTGCTTCCCTGAAACACTCTCTACAACCCATAATAGCCCTCCGTATGTGCCTCAGAACATAGTTTGGGAGCCATGGGGAAGGGCTTTTTAGTCTAGGAAGCAAGAACTGCTCTCTTAGTCTCACTTGTTGCTAACCTAAAACAGGGAGCTGTGTCCAGGCCACAATGTCTTTACCTCTAAAAATCTAGGTGCTAAAAGAGCCTACAAAGATGGACTAGGGTAACAACAGGTATTTATATACAACATTAGGCCTAGCAGTAGGTACAGAAAGGGGCTAGAGTAAATGATAATTTCAGACCATCCCTCAAGAGACTAAAACTCCAATTCTTCCCCTATTCTCTTTAGTGTTCTGCATTTTTCTATCTGGACACCAGCTCACCGTGTCTGCTGTAGTCAAAAAACCACACAAACCTTTTTCATCGTGAGGAGACATCCTATTTTCCTTCTACAGAGAAGCCGTATCTTCTGCCAAATAACAGAAAACAGTCAACTGCCCCTGAAGTTTCCTCTTGTTGCCTTTATTAACTCTTGTGCTAGTCTCTCAAAAAATCTCAAAAATAAGCTTTTATTCTTCTTGAATTTTATCTTAGGATTCTCTTTCTCCATATCATCCAGAGCCAAGGTTTTGTTTAAATAAAGATAATGGGATCAGAAACAAAAGAACATTTTACCTACCACCACCACCACCTTTAGGAGAGATCTTACGTACCCATAGCACTGACCACGCCCATTTAGGCGTGGTCACAGGTACATAGAACTGTATGGGGGATAAAAGAGCTGGGAGGAAGGGGAAGCTCTTCTCTACTTCTGTCTCCTCAGCAGGAGACACATTTAAATGAACTTCTGACGGACCATTTTCCAAAGCTGATTGCTTGCCAGCAGCTTCCATTGTTCACCACCATGAAAGTAGTCTAAACTTCTCTTCCATCAGTGTTTGAGCAGAGTCAGACTTGTAACCTAGTTGGACCATGAAGTGTCCCGGTCACAGTTTTGAAAAGCTGGTGCATATAAGCAAAGAGTATCCTAAGTACAGAATGTGTAAAACATGACGTGAAAAGAAGTACTACTAGCACTCTGTGCTGATGTAACTGCCTGATTTGGCTCTTGTGTCTCATGTTATTTTTTTTATTTTGCTGTTTCTTAACAAAATAATTCTTCTACTTATACTAGGTATCATTTAAAAAACCTCCTTTCTGAGTTGTTTCACACAAATAAGAAACCTTTACCTTCATATGCTGCACATAAATTAGCTCTCATTCTATTACCTACCACCTTCGTCTGACAGATGTGTCAGACACCAGTCTGAGAATTACTTTGCCTCGCCCGAGGAGCCTGATTAATAAATGATGAGGCAGAGACAGGATTTAGAGACCGCATCATATAATCCATGTAACTGACAAGTAGGCGTGTCTTATTCTTTGCAGAGAACTGCTTCTCCATCTTGCATCTTCTTATGAACACACGCTTCTATTCCTTATTACACCACCTTAAAATTTTACCATACGCTTCTTGTGCTGAACCTTGAAATTCCATAGAAATGCAGATTTCTTTCTTCAAACACAGGCTCTTTCCAAAGCCCCCTTTGTCTTTAGGATCCCTTCCCAAATTGGGTCATTTGTTCCAGGTCCCTGATACTCTTGCTGGGGGGTCTCACATTGGAGGAGGGACTTGCCGAGTGGGAACTCAAGAGAGCCACACTCCAGTGCTGTGTCTTTGTGAGCCCCAGATCCAGTGAAAGTGTTGAACTCTATGATCGTTTCAGTCTTCATCAACTGAAGCAAAGATTCCTGAAGAACATCATCCTCATACATCTCCAAAATAAATTCAAACAATAAAGTTTCAGTTACGTATTAAAGAAGCTAATGGTGTTTTTCTGCAATACCCAAATCCTAAAGCCTGTCCCTTTGAGTGTTTCCCACTGTTCATTCCACTGACCAAACACTAGACAAACATTTCCAAATTCTTGACATTTTTCCTTAGTGTATCCTTCTCTGATTCAGCAAACTGTTTCTACTGTGTTAATTCAATGCTACAAATTAACAAGATACTAACAAACAAAAGTCCCTGAATGCTCTTCTTTGAATTCAAATTATCATAAACAGGTTAAAAGACAGCTGTTGTGTATAGAAAGCAGGAATTTAGATTTTGCTTATCTTAATGGTCTCCTGGCATCTGTTTAATTGGGAAATATCTGAATTCTATAAATTAAAACTCATGGTATTTTTTTGCACTGGTGAGATGGCTCAGTGGTTGAAAAACTCAGGTTGCTTCTGCAGAGTACCCAGGTTCAGTTCCCAGCACCCACATAGTATTAACTCCAGTTCCAGGAAATCTAATGCCCTCTTCTGGCCTCCATGGGTATTGCATGTAGGTAGTGGATTTCCATGCACGCAGGCAAAACACTAACACATAAACTTAAATAAATCTTTAAAAGAGAGACAGGGGTGGGGGGGCGGATAGATTTTAAAACTTGTGGGACTTTTATATTGTTCATTCTTCATAGAGTTGTATCCTTGTACCACTGCAGTTCAATTCACTCAACATTTGATATACAGTAGATTAAGTAGATTGTAATGGGCATGAGAATACTAACAACCGCAGTGACTGCCAACACAGCCACCTGGAACACAGTAGGGATTTGGAGAGCAGGGGCCAGGGGCGCAGGATTACTGGGCCACCAGTGGGATAATGTATGTAGGTCGAAAAAGATCCCGCTGGTCTGCAACGGCCCTCTCACTTGGAACTCTCAGGAGTCTGGCCTCCAGAATTCTCACATGCAGCGTATGTGACTGTAAGCCACACTGCCTGTGGAGGGTGTAGCATAATTCATTGCTGTGCTGAAATGGCCCCGTTTCATCTCAATTAGATTTGGGAATTCCCACAAGACCATGTTGTGTCTTTCTGGGGAACCTCCACAGTTCTTTGCACAGTGCCAGGCATACAAACAGCATCCAAAAAAATACATCTACTGAATAAATGAGTTCACATAAATTGGAAAAAATAATTAGCACTCAATTAGAGATGCACGGGGCTCTTTTCACAACGCCCTATGGTGAATTAAACTCTAGGGCTGCATTTTTTTTTTGAGTCTGAGCCAAATAAGATATTGCCATCTTGGTTAACCGTTATTTAAATGTTTACTTTCCTTGTCCTGTATTATTATATCTCTCAGGATTCTTTTGTTCATCCAGCTAATGAAATGAGGATTGGGGAACTTCACCCTTCATTAGCTGAGACCCCTCTGTACCCACCCAAACTTGTTCTGCTAGGGAAGGACAAAAAAGGTAACATCGTGAAGCCGATGTGCAACTGTGACCGCTGCATGTGCATGACAAATCACCACTTATACATTCTGACATGCCGTAGTCTATAAGTACCCGCAGATGTGTGCTTCTGACATTACTCCATACGGAATCTGCTTTTCATAGCTTCTTCTGTGCTCGTTGGTGTCCGTAGCGTCGTTAACATGCTTCCCCTCTAAATTTCAGAGTCAACTGATGAGTCTGAAGTTGACAAAACTCACTGTCTGAACAACAGTGTCTCCTCAGGCACCTACTCAGACTACTCACCCTCCCAGGCTTCCTCGGGGTCCTCCAACACCCGCGTAAAAGTGGGGTCCTTGCAGACAACAGCTAAAGACGCGGTCCATAACTCTTTGTGGGGTAACAGGTGTGTTGAGAATTCCACCAACCCTCACCCCCACCCCCACCCCACTTCTGTGTTCCCAAATGCTCATTTTCGTCAGCTTTGGCGAAGTGGAAACTGCTTAAGCCTGGGGCTGTGTCTGACACGTGAGAAGACAGAAGACGCAGGTAAGCATGTGGACTCAGGTAAGCATGTGGGCTCACCTGGGGCCTCGGAGGGCATCCAAGCCATCCTCCAGGGCCTGGTGTCGTCAATGAGGGCCCGTCTGAGACATCATGGAAAATTGTGTTTGGTGATCTGAAGTTTATGAGACATGTGGGCATGTCACATCCAAAATGATGTAAGAAGGGCTGGGTAGAAGTTGCCTAGTAGTGGAGGTAAGTGCCCTGGGTTTTATCTCCACTAACAACAACAACAAAAAAGCAAATTTCGTGTGATAGAGCAAGATTTGTAGGCTGAAGAGACTGCTCAGCAGTTAAGATCACTGTTACGTTCTTCCAGAGGACCTGGGTTCCACACCCAGCTCCCATCAACATGATGGCTTACAACTGTCTGCAACTCCAGTTTCAGGAGATCTGATGCCTTCTTTTGGGTTCTGTGGGTACCAGACATGCATGGAGGCAAAACACTCATGCACATAAAAATAAAAACAGATTTTCATAAAAGGATATGTGCAAAACATTTTGTCTGCCACACAGTGGACGTGGATTCTGTCAAATCATCATCCTGCCATCACCTGACGTCAAGACGTGTGTAAAGGCATTTGCCCTTTCCCATGCTCCTCCTCCTGTGTTACTCCTATTCTGTGTATGAAAAAATACAAGAACTAGAGGGAGCCAGAAACAGCCAAAGAAAGCAAGGGATGGTGAGAGAGAGTGGGGGGGGTCAAAGAGAGCTAGAAAGAGCAGGAGAGAGCCAGAGAGGGTCAGGGGAGGTCAGAAAATGTCAGGGAGGGGAGGTGGAAAAGAGCAGGGGAGAACCAGAGAGAGCCAGGGAGGGTCAGAGATAACAGGAGAGAATCAGGGTCAGGAAAGGTCAGAGGGGGTCAAGAAAGGGTGAGAGAGAGCCAGGGAGAGCCAAAAAGAATCAGAGAGGGTCGGAGAAGATCAGAGAGGGTCAGAGAGCCAGAGAGAACTAGAGATGGTTAGAGGGGACTAAGGAGAGTCAGAAAGAGTCTGGGAGAGCCAGAGAAATCCAGAGAGAGTCAGAGGGCGTCAGGGAGAGCCAGAGGAAGACGAGAGAGACAAAAGTAGACAGGGAGAGCTAAGGAGGTCCAGAGAGGCATCCATTCATTCACTCAGCAGCAGCAGGTTTGCCCTGTCTGAGGTCCGTGCCCCCTCCTCTTTGGAGTGTGTGTGCTACAGCGGTTTTCACCAAAAACAGTCAATAAAAATTTCCATGAGATAGGTACCGACTCCATAACTTCAACATATTTTATTGACAGTGTTGGCTTCTTGGCTTTTGTAAGTCATATTACTTCCATTATTTCTAAGTATGTCACCATACCCATCATACTTACTCTTGTTAAGTTTATAAGGCCATCATTGATGACAGTGTGAGCTGAGATAAATTTGGGTATTCCTGGGAGATGTCCTCTAAGCACTTTTTTTTCTTTTCCAGTAGCAGCAGTATCTCACTAATAAAACATATATACTGCACTGTATGTGCATGTAATTCAGCATTATTGGCAAACGAATTCAAACACTCTCAGGAAAGCTCATACGTGCCACTAGCCTGATGCCATGGTGCAGTCGATATTATAGCAGTCCCCGGATGTCCTGTCCATAAGCCAGTACAAGACTATGAAGTCGAGAGAAGGAGGAAGAGGTCTTAAGAGAGGGAGAAAGAGAAAGCAACAGACACGTGTGACAAGACGTGAAAGGGAAGACGTGGGCGGAAATGGAAGGACGGTGGGGGAGAGGGATGAATCAGAACAAAAGCTAATGGCACCTAAGCCTGAAAACGCCGTAATGAAACTCATTGCTTTTTTTATGCTAACTTTTAAAATTAAGTGAATAAATACATCAGAACTGGAGACCTGTATGTAGAGCGTAGTCTTCCCGCCAGCCTGGTTCCAGAGCCGCATCAGTCCCAAATGAACACACAGGAGGCCATATTAATTATGAAGCTGTTGGCCATTTGTTTGGTTTCTTACTGGCTATCTCTGACTTATGTATTTACCCCATAATTATTCATCTAAATATTTTCTCTTACTGGAGAAAGGGGTCCGGACCTCTTATTCCTATGGCGGCTACATCATGACTGACTCTCTCTCTCTTTCCCAGAATCCTCCTTGACTCCTAGTTCCACCTATCTTGCTTTCCTATTGGCCAACAGTGCTTTATTGACATATACACAGGACTTCCCCTTCACTTGTCCTTACTTGGAGACAGCCTGCACTCTTAAGAAGCACAGAGCATTTTGTTTAAGTTCTCTCAGCTGGTTAGCTTGAAAGTGCTGTGAATCAGGAAATCCTTATTTCATTTATCTACCCACTTAGCCTATTTGTATCCTGATCCCAAAAAACGGAAAAGACTGATGGGGGGGGTGTCCTTCTGTATATATGTTTCTCTTATTGGCTGATGAATAGAACACTGTTTGGCCAGTAAAGGCAGTAAGTTAGGTGGGGCTAGGGGACAAGGAGGATGCTAGGGAGAGAGGCAGAGAGGCGCAGGGAGAGGATGCTGTGTAGAGACTAGGAAGGTAGGATGCATCAGGCCTTCTCTGGTAAGATAAGGCCATGTGAAAATACAGAGATTATCAGTCATGGGTTAATAATTAAGACAGGGCTAGCTAATAGGCAGCCCTAGCCATCGGCCAACCATTTACAAATTAACACGACATCCGTGTGCTTATTTGAGGCTAATTGGCTGCAGGACCAGGCTGGAAAGAAACTTCAGCAACCAAAGGCCTCTCTCTTCATGCTCGCATTCCATGGGAGGGACGATGTATACATTAGGTGGTTAATTTCCTAGTGTTCTAGAAGCCCAGGGTCACTAAGGAGCTGTGAAAGTCAGAGCAGGTTAAAGCGGGCTTTTCTGGATGGTGCTTTAACCAACGGTAACCCAGGTGGGATAAATGAGCTACGACAAGGGCTTCTGGAAAGGTCACCCCTCCCTCTTGGTCATTTTTTTTCTCCTTCTGCTTGTTTTCACAGGATTGCGCCACCTTTCCCACAGCCTCTGGATGCAAAGCCATTACTCAGCCAACGGGAGGCTGTTCCTCCAGGGAATCTCCCCCAGCGTCCTGATCGGCTGCCAATGAGCGACGCTTTCCCTGACAACTGGACCGATGGCTCCCATTATGATAACACAGGTTTTGTCTCAGAGGAAGCCTCAGCTGAGAATGCCAACAATAACCCTCTCTTAAGCGCCAAGGCTAGAAGCATACCTGCTCATGGCCGCAGGCCTTTAATCAGGCAAGACAGGATTGTCGGTGTTCCCCTGGAACTGGAGCAGTCCACACACAGACACACGCCAGAAACAGAAGTGCCTCCTCCCAATCCCTGGCAGAATTGGACCAGAACTCCCAGTCCATTTGAAGACAGGACTGCTTTTCCTTCCAAATTAGAAACAACCCCTACTACCAGCCCCTTGCCTGAAAGAAAAGACCACATGAAGGAGCCTACGGAGACACCAGGTCCCTTTTCTCCAGGAGTGCCATGGGAGTATCATGACCCCACCCCCAACAGGAGTCTCGGTAATGTCTTTTCTCAAATCCACTGCCGCCCAGACTCATCTAAAGGTGTCATTGCGATCAGCAAAAGCACAGAGAGACTCTCCCCACTCATGAAGGACATAAAGTCCAACAAATTCAAAAAGTCTCAGAGTATTGATGAGATTGACATTGGCACCTACAAGGTTTATAACATCCCACTAGAAAACTACGCCTCTGGGAGCGATCACTTAGGGAGCCACGAGCGGTCAGACAAGTTGTTGGGACCGGAGCACGGCATGTCCAGTATGTCCAGGAGCCAGTCGGTACCCATGCTGGATGACGAGATGCTCATGTATGGAAGTAGTAAAGGACCACCCCAACAAAAAGCATCGATGACTAAGAAGGTCTATCAGTTTGACCAAAGCTTCAACCCACAAGGGGCGGTGGAAGTTAAAGCGGAGAAGAGGATTCCACCCCCTTTTGCACACAATTCTGAATACGTGCAGCAGCCTGGCAAAAACATCGCCAAGGATCTGGTCAGCCCCAGAGCCTATAGAGGATACCCACCCATGGAGCAGATGTTCTCCTTTTCCCAGCCATCCGTAAATGAGGACGCCATAGTGAATGCTCAGTTCGCCAGCCAGGGGCCCAGGGCAGGCTTCCTAAGGAGGGCTGACTCCCTGGCCAGCTCCACTGAAATGGCCATGTTCAGAAGAGTCAGCGAGCCTCACGAGCTGACCCCTGGTGACAGGTATGGCCGAGCAGCCTACAGGGGAGGGCTGGAAGGCCAGAGCAGCGTCTCAATGACTGATCCCCAGTTCCTCAAGAGGAACGGCAGGTACGAAGATGAGCACCCTTCATATCAAGAAGTGAAAGCCCAGGCGGGAAATTTCCCCGCTAAAAACCTTACCCAGAGGAGGCCGCTGTCGGCCAGGAGCTACAGCACAGAGAGTTACGGAGCCTCCCAAACCAGGCCAGTTTCAGCTAGGCCTACCATGGCAGCCCTCCTGGAGAAAATACCCTCTGACTATAACCTGGGTAACTATGGTGACAAGCCTTCAGATAACAGTGATATAAAGACAAGGCCCACCCCTGTGAAGGGAGAGGAGAGCTGTGGCAAAATGCCGGCAGACTGGAGACAGCAGCTGCTTAGACATATAGAAGCTAGAAGGTTAGACAGGGTATGTCTGGCGTTTCTCTGTAAGAATTCCCCTTCTGCCTTGGGTTTACCTTTCCCGGCGTCTCTGAGCACTCGGGGTAGCGCATGAGTTACAGGAATGGTAGCTCCCAGGATTTTATTTTTATTTGTGGGGGAGATGGATTGCAACAGTTTCATGTAGGTGTTGCTTAATGCTTTCTGAGAAGTCATAACCAGCAGGTGAATCACCTACCAAAGCTAGCCTGAATATTGTTGGTAAGAAAGAATTTGACTGGATTATCTGGGATGGTACTTCAATGTCTTTCTAGCTGTGAAAGCAAGGCTGCCTCTCCCAGGACCCAAAACTGTTCCCTGGTGACCTAAAAAGTGTTGTTTTTATTGAGTCTATACAAAGTGAGTATTTCAGCCTTTCCACATGGACTCACTTATATTAAGCTCGGGCTTATTTTGCTTATAAAATTTGCACATAGCTACAGCTAAGGGACAACTGAAGTTATTACCTCTAATGAGCAATAATCTTCCCAGCAAGTAACAGAAAAATAAAATAAGCAGAGATTAAATGCCCTCCTACACACTATTTTATTTGATTAAAAAATCCTGACTTTAGAATATTGGCTTTTATGTAGAAAGAAATTCTACAATTCAAGTTACAAACAACAAATGCAGATGATGTCTCAAGAAAAACCACAAATGTAGCATATTAGTGTGTACAACGTAGCAAAACGAGGAAATAAATCCCAAATTAATCTTAATTCAGTTAAAAATTGAGCCATAGTACTGTGAGGACTGAGAAGCGATTGGAGAGTTAAAAGCAAAAAAAAAAGGAAAAACAGTACAAAGCGTAGAATTAGTTCTTGTTGACTGCTTGAATCTCTCTAAGAGAAACCAAGCATTTCATTCTCTACAGCTTTTGCTCATCTGCATCATCATTCACCAAACCTTGTGTCTCTAGTTCAAAAGACTGTGTGTGCCCCAAACTCACTTCAAAATTAAAGATTGTTTTGTGAACATGGGGCCCTTCCCTCTCATGTCTTCAAATTAGGTGTTCTGATTAATATTATGGCCATCAAGATGTTTCACATGGATCCCTTCAGTGCTCTGCTTCTATAAAAGCAAGGTCACTGTATTATGTATTCCTTTAATATTAAATTTGAGCTTTCAGGTTTAGTCTCTGAAAAATAATGATCTGTAGGTTGTGTCTACGTGACAAGGAAACAGTTTTTCCTAGGGAGAGAATGAACTAATAAATGTGCTTGTGGATGATAATTTCTTAAGATGGACATTGAGCCTGCCTTGCAAAATATTTCACCGGAATGTTTCAAATGGGTGTACTCCATCCTATTGAAGGAAACTTTGTCAAAGTTTCATGGCTGGCATCAGTAGGAGACACCTGACCAACTGGCACATGCCTTACCTTGAATTATACCCTCCATGTAGACAGATAACTTAAAGGGTGATAATATTTAGGGTTAAATAATACAGAACTGTTGGGAACTCTGGTCTCATGTAGACAACAACCATATATAACATGGTAATGTGAACTAGCTAAGAAAGGTTCTAAGAAGGTGTGGGAAATGTATGTGTAGTGACTAATAATCTGAGGAAGAATGAGTTGAAACAAAGCATGAAAATAGAATGACAAGGTAGAAAGCATCTGGTGTCATCAATTTATGGGTACCCTGGATAGACGTGCCCCACCCACTTTGAACCAAGATGCTAAGAAGTAGATGACTCCTGTATCTGCAGACAGTATAAGGCTGTGGAAGGGTTTGGATAAGTAAGTCTGAAGGCCCTGCCTGGCCCAGATAGCTAAGGTGAATTTATCTGTATTTTTTTCATTGTTGTGATGACACTTCCCTTTTCTATTGAGCTCTATTTGTTTGTAATTCCCTGGTTCTAACACTAACTTTTCAGAGCAATAGTTTCTCATTTGATTCAAGAAATCAAGTTACTTTAGACTACTGCTCCGAGCCACAGTTTTCTAGGAGCTTTCTTCTAGTTTACTACAAGTGACATTTCCTTCTCCACTTAGCTGAGTTACTCAGTGGTAACTCAAGATGCATCTCCTATGAAACCTTCCAGCTATTCCCTCTCCCAGATGAATTCATGGTTCCACGGCACATATTACAATGCCGAATAGTTTTAGACAGAGCTGTGCTATTAGCATTCTGCCCATGATCAGGTGGCACCAGGGATGTGGGGTACTTTACTCCGAAACTCAGCTAAGCTATTCAACCCTGGGCAACAGTAATACCAGCAGCTACAAGATATTTGTGATTTCACATAAAAGTCAACTGCCTACAGGTCTGTTCATGTTATAGGCTTAACAGTCCAACATGGAATGGCAAACGATCTTAGGGTTGACCTTGGAGAGACAGATCCAAGTACTACACTAGAAAAGAAGGATGCCGTTTTCTCCCTTATTTTAATCACAAATGCTTTTATGACAGAGACCCACTGTGACCAAGAATTTAAAACATGAGCCTATTTGTCTGAGAATGTTGGTCCTTTAGGGGGCATCAAGGAATTACCAGAATGAGTGGTTGAGAGTCTTTTTCACTTTTGGCATGGTGAAGGTGAACTAATCCCTAGTCCTTAACAAATAGAATTGGCAGTCATTTCTCGCCATAGCTCACAAAAAAATGCTGGTAATAAAAATCGTGACTTTGGGAGCAGTGCTCTCAGAGCAGAAATGGTATCCAGCCATTAATTCTCAGTGATAGCTAAGAAAATGTCTGCTGCACTTAAAGAAACCAGCACTGGTAATGATTGTGTTTTCACTGTAGATTCAAAGTTTGATGTTGGGCCATTTTAAAGTATCTTAATATTTTAATGAAGCCCTATAGAGAAAAATTACTAGTCATCAGTACCTGGCAAAAGATATCCACACTATAAATATCACCACAGTGTTGTGCAAATATTTGATACGTACTAAAACAAACAAACAAACAAAAAACATTGGCCATCTTCAATTACAACTGCCTTAAGGTTGTCACACATTAGCTTAAGTAGAGTTAGAAGTTAGCACCTGTGTCTTATATGGGCAGATCTCATAATGCAAGACAATGAGATTTGTAGCATATGGAATCTGATTAAAGCCTCACTGTCTCAGCTTGCAAAACTAATAAACTGCTGCAGGCAATCAATACCTGCCGCAAGCCAGGATCATCAGGATATCTAAGAGACAAAGACAGAGGCTTAGCCTTTCCCTGAGAGCACAGGCATGAACGGTGTATCTTAGCGTGGTGTCATTTCCGTGGCTCTGGAGGGTACTTGTGTGCACAACTAACCCTGTTACTGTATGCTTTTGTCTGATCGAGCGCATGTTTACAAAAAAAAAAGTTACTGTTTGCCTGCTTACAGTTCAATGTTATGAATTTAGATGTGTTCATGTAATGGCCCGTTTGTGGAGCCTGTGTTTACATCCTGTCACGTGGTTATCTCCTTACTCAGAACGCTGCTTACAAACACAACACAGTTAACCTTGGCATGCTGCCCTATGGAGGTATCTCAGCAATGCATGCAGACAGAAGCATGACTTTAAACTTGCAGACTAAGTCTAAATTTGACCTTCAAGACCTACCTCTTCAGAAAGTAAGTATGGACTGCCCTACAGGTGTCAGCATCCCAAAGCCACTTAATGTTTGTTCGGTTGGTGTATTTAGACTGTGCATCTAGCCCTGCTTGCCTCGGACTCTCCATAGTCCGAAAGCACCAGGGCAAATGATGTAGAGCCTGAATCTGTAGCTGCTCAGTGTTTATTGTAGCTTAGACCGAATTACCAGACTCTTGCTTTTTGGACTGAGCGGGCACATGGTTTTTGGGGGTTAGGGTTGATTTAAAGATCATCTTTCTGCTTTTTTTCCTATTCTTCCATGGTTTTCTTTCTTTTGTGTTTACACATTTATTGTTTCCTTTTTTTTTTTTTTTTTTTTTTTTTTTGAGACCACCGCTGCCCTCCCTGGGTGAAGCATTTTGAGAACTATGCCGAAAACTCTTCTTGGATCTGGGTATTTCCTTTAGAAGGCATAATATCCCGAGGGAGGGTGGAAGTTAAACGTTTAGCACTGCAAATGTTGTTTTAGTCCGCTTTCCATGTGGGCACACAGCACAGGAGGGAGAGAGAGAAGTTTGCAGCTTATCTGTCAGTTTGCTCTTCTTGGGTTAATAGAAAAGTAACAAGTTCACATGTTTTCGACAAAAATATAGGCATGTTAGAAAAGAAATAATGCTGTATAATAAGAATTCCCATTGTCAGTGAAGCATTTGTCTTGTGCAGTCAGCACTGGGAATACCCATTTTTTTGCCTGCTTAAAACAATTAATGCTTTTTTATTTCTCTGTTACAACTCAGCAGGGACTAATGAGTCATTTTTATACAGTGTCATTATGACTGTATATTAATGTAGTCATTAGACTCATAAGGTTTGCTGGATAAAGAGGTGCAAAACAGGAAAAAGAGAATGACAGCAGCCCCACCATTTCTTCTTTCTGAAGAAAATAAATGTGGGACGAACTCCCATGCCGTGATGCCTCATGGAGCTGTCAAATGTCTGGTAACATTCCCTGACTCTATATAGTCTAATTCAGGCTGGGATAGCATAACATAGTTAGAGATTTTATATCCACAGGTTTTCACACACAGAGGGAGGGGCACCAGGGGAGAGAGAGAGAGAGAGAGAGAGTAATCAAAACCTAACTAAACTGGGAACTTCCAAACATTACCCAATTTGTTCTCGGTCTCCCCGGGGATGACCAATGGTGCATGATAACTTTCTCTGAGGTCAGCAATAACTCTCATCATGGCCACACGCATGGCCCAGCTCACAGTCTCTAAACTTAGAGCTGCTCTTGTGAGCCCTTAATTTATTCAAGTCAGGTCTAGCATGTCATCAACACAACCATTTTCTCGAAACCCTGCTTCAAGACAATCTGTTCTTCATGTCCTCCTGGAAGTCCAAAGCCTGTATCCTCTTTCCATCCAAAACCAACCTTCGTGTCCTATCTACACTAAGGGATGGGTGAGCTGCCACAGCTACAGTCACCTCTCCAAGAGGACTTGGGAAGTAATGCAAATCAGACTTTGAAACTAAAGTAAGAAAATTTCAAAACAAATTATGAAGGACTCTGCTGGGCAGTGGCGGCACACACCTTTAGAGATTTAGAGGCAGGGGACTCTGTGCGTTCAAAGCCAGCCTAGGCTACATAGTGAATTCCAGAATAGTCAGAGCTTCACAGGGAAACTCAGTCTCAAAAAAGCAAAACAAAAAAAAAAATAAATAAATTTAAAGGGATTTTGGTATGAAGAAAGCTGTTGCTGGAAACCTCTGAAAATAATGGCAACGACCCTATTTTGAGTAATTTGGGGCCTAATTACTCTCATTTCTATACAGTGATCTGGATTCATGCAGTAACTGAACAGGAGCAGTTCACTTAAAAATGTGTTTCTGGTGTCTCAGTTACACTCCAGATATGAGTTGTAGGGACAGATGCCCTGTTGTAGTAACCTCATAGTGCATTGGCCCTAGAGAATGGATGAACTACCTCTCACTGTGGTTACACCACACTTGGTTACGGCAACAATGCAGAGCTGTAATTAAGGACCTCACACCATCTGTCTGTCTGAGGCAAAGACAGGACTCATAGGGAATCCCTTTGGAAAGGAAGCAAGTTGAAACCCAACCATTAAAGCCCTGAAAGACTTCAGTGTAAATAACTATCAACACATTATCTCCTGCACAAAGGAGGAGGGAGTGAAAGAGGGGAAAGAAGGGAGAAGAAGAGGATTGAAAAAGGGCATTTCTAAGACTGGCAGTTCCAAGGTCTATGAAAAATATAAACTACTCTGCCTGGCATGGGAAGAGTTCAAAACTATGCATGCATAAGCATCCAAAGGAGAGCCCAAGCCGCGGCTGTGGCAGCTTAGACTGCACCCCCCACCCCATAGGTTTCTGCCCAAGCTCCCATCCCTTCTGCCAGACTCATCTTCTCCGTAGAGCTTGGCTTTGCAAATTTGTGGAGGGATGGGCGGGGCGCTCTCTGCCAAGCTATAGAATTAACCTTTATTTGTATAATTTTTAATCAGCATACAAAGAAATGGTCGCTGCTGTGACACCTCCATCTGTACTATACTTTCATCTGCCCTCCTTTACCCGCTGACCTCCTTCCTCCCCTTCCGCCTCTGTGTCATATGTATTCTGTTGTCTGTCCTCTCTCTGCTTTCTCCGCCCCTCCCCCCCCTTAAGATTTCTTCTTGCTCTCTCGTGGTCCCATGCACATGGCACAAAATTACTCTCGGGCATCTGGAAGGAAAACGTAAGGCTTCCCTCTTAGGGAATCTAGAGGAATGCGCAGCTCACGTTTGTGGGGGCGGCGCCCTTCCCAGGGGACACTTGGGCTGACATCACAACTCATGGCTTTACTCTGGGGCTCCCAAACCTGGGCTCTTGCACCAGGAGGAAGACGCTCTCTTATTCCCATAAGCACTGACATGGTCCTTAAGCAAATTTATAATAAGCTAACTAAATGACACAGCGGCTATAAAGGAGAGCCCTGCTACCTGGCAGCGCTTACGCAGTATACGTTCAAGGTCATGGAACGGGGGAGACATGCCGATCATGTCATGTATTTTGAACATTTCTAGCTCATCCCTATTTATTGCATGCCAGGTCAAGCATATGTTTCTTCTTTCATAGATTTAAAAAGCTAACTATAGTCTTTCTGTTCCATAAACAGGAAATCATATTCTATATGATAATTTCATGAAAATCTTCAAGATGCTTTTGAAAATGCCACCAAATGCGGCAAAACTAATATAAAAAATTAAAATTATTCATTGATTTGTTGATGCTTCTGCTGAACCTTAAAAATCTAAGAGTATTTATGGACTAGAGCGCTGGTCATAAAAGTTAGGCTTAAATTATAGGATATTGATATCTCCTATTTATTTGTTCATTCATTCACTCATTCGTTCACTTATCATTTATTTGCTGCCTTTCCAAAAAGCATTCGAGTCAACTTTCTATGATGTTTTTAATGGTTTATGTGCTTTTTTCGGGTGTGTGCTACTGTTAACGAGCTCAGCTATTGTCTTGAAATGTTTTGTTACTGGGAAAAGAACAATATTGTAAGAGAATGTCGGTTCAAACCACTATTTTCATTGCCTAGATTAATGAAAGGATGATAAATATTTCCATTATGAAAAAACAAAGGCTAAGAAAGATTGAAAACCCACTCTGGCTGGTACCACAAGGTACTTTAAGGGTGCTTTTTTTTTTTCTTGCAACTCACAAACTTAGGTGGACATACTTAGAAGACATATGAGAGAGACAGGAGACCGAGGCTCACAAGTCACACAGGTGTACCATGTGCTTTTGCTTTACTGTCATGACCATGGTTCCCAGTGTGTACCCTGTCTACATTCAGTGAAGCCTTTTTCATAATTTCTAACACCTGATATTGTCATGTTACATGACCCACAGGAGTCAGAACAGTTCCCTCATTCACATTACTATCCGAGTAGCCATAAGAGTTGATGATGTGGAAAACGTTTAAAAGGGAGATAAATGGAGTATCTTCACTGACCCCAGAACACATGACCAGGTCGTTATGTAGATACCACAGGTGAAATGCCTCAGGTTATCCGAACTAAGTGAAAGCCAGTGATCACCAAGTGCTTTGTCAGATCACCTATACTTCCTGACCATTCACTCTCACCAGAATGTGCTTGGTGGCATGAATAGTACAGACCCTGAGCACCCCATGCTAATCATGCTGACAGCTGCCACCTCCGGGGATCATCAGAGCTGGGGAAGAAACACTAGCCTTCGCTAATGCCTGCCCAGGGTATGGCTCCCAGTAGAAGTACTGCAGGTCCCACAGAGCTGGAGTGATATTTGCTGCCTCTTATTCTTTTAGAGTTTACTACGGTAATGTTGTGCCATAGAATCTTTTGCTTGTTGTCTATAGGATTGGGCAGTAACATAAATTACAAATTCAGAGATAGCAGGCCTAAGTCATATATGTGACATATATAAAACCATTGCTTCTTTGAAGTTACCTGGGAGAAAATGTCCTCACTGTCTATCTGATTAGTTACTAAATCAACTGATTCCTGTATAACAAACTCCTGGGTTAGGGAAACTTAGACAGTGATGTTTGCCTTGACTGTTTTTAAACCTCTGGTGTCCTTTTCCAATGGTCCCATGCAGATGACTCAGGGCTAGATGGCACCATCCTTGCTATGCATCTGTTCACCTGAAATCCAAGGGTCACTTTTTCAATGCCATTTTTTTCCTACTGAAAGCAAAGGGAGATCTATACTGTACCCCAGGCCTACTCGGGCCTACTCATGCCTGTAATTCCTACCGATTCTGCTATATTTATTCCTGGCTCTTTATCCCTCCAGAAAGAGCTATCCACCATTCTGATTGTGAGAGAAGTCACCAGCCTGGCAGATAACACAAAGTCCTTACAGAGAGAGGCTAAAATGAGCAAACCATGTTAGTATCAGTGTGGATGATGTCTCCTCTCTATTATGCGCTAACACAGTCTTTAAAAATCATAACCATGACACTCTCACACAATATATTTGCCTTTATCGTAAATATCATTTCTCAAAAGGCTTGCTGGAATTTCTGGAATACTAGTGCAGCAATAGTTTCACTAAAAATACTTTGGGAAGATTATTTTTCTAGCGTTTCCTGGTTTTGTTTTTGTTGTTGGTTTTCATTTATTGATGTGTATGTTTGCTCCAGTTTTGTTTTGTTTTGTTTGTTTTGTTTTTTGTTTTGTTTTGTACAAGGTCTCAGTATGTAGCCTAGGCTGGCCTCAAATTTATGATCCTCCAGCTTCAGCTTCCCTCCTCATGCTGAAATTATAGAGATGCCACCATGTTGCTTGGACAAATTATCTTTAAAGCTTCCTTAAATCTATGAAAATCTCCTTTGTAGACCATGTGACAATTACCTAACAAAATAGACCCTTGCATTCAACACCAAAGATGTCACAAGAGCTTAGCTAGGTGTCAAATTCTAATGCCACTCATACATTTTCTTCAGCAAGATGGCATTACACATAATTTCAGAAGCATACTACACAGCATTATTTAGCAGATGAGCAAGGCTACTGGTTCAACTATGCCCATTTACTGTACTACATACTAATATACATCCATATGGACACATTCACATATGCAAATATATGTACAAATATACTCAGATATCTGGAGAGAGAAGCATACTGAAGGCTCAGCCAGATTAGAAATTACTTCTTTTTCTGGGCATTTATCACCAGTCTTAGTCCTGAGAATCATCAACACTACGTCTACCAATAACCACAGCAGACTTTGAAGGCAGATTTCCTTAAGCTAGAGCCCTTATCAAAATGTTTGCTTTTATACTAACTCACACTGATCATTTCCTCTATTATTCTAATAATAAAAACCAACAGACTCCAGTAGCCAATGCCCTATGCACTGTGTGTTTCCTTGGCTGGTGGTGTGGGATGAGGAATGATAGAAGCAGCCCTAACCTTTAGAGCATACTGACACAATGTGAGCACCTGGCTTAGCTTTTTTTTTTTTTTAGAAATAAAACATTGTAACAACAATGGCTTCAATTTATATTATGCTTTTCAGTTGTTCCTTTTTTATCTTCTGGAGAATTTTAACCCTAGATAACAAATTTATTTACAGCATATATCCTACTTTAAGAAATAACGTGAGCATACTAAATATTTCTCTTTCGGTCATCCTCCACCACCATCAGTAAGTGTTTCCGTGATCTTCATGTTTCTCCAGCCTTTAGTGCCTCACTTAGGAAAATCAGATCACAGCTCATTCTTGAAATTAATAAGGGAAATTGCTTTCAGGAAGTCCATTAATTTTACTATGTAGTGAAAAAGAATCTCTTTAATGGTCCTGTATGTCTCTGTTTCTCTGTCCCCTGTAATATGAAAGAATTAGTGTGACAGTTAATTCTAATTTTTCAAAAGAGACAAATTAATTTGTAAACTTATGAAGAACCCAGGGTCATGATGTCAGGGTTTTGATGGAATGGAGCTGCACCTTTGTTGTGGGCCAAGAAGAAATGTGCCATTTTGACTAGCTCCCAGTGACTATTCAAAATAGGTCTATTCGTTTCTGGGCAAGTAAGAAAAGGCATAAGAGGAAATTCATATAAAGTTGAGAGTGACATTAATAGGAAATTCTGTTCTGCGCTGAATTCTATCCATCTCTCAAGAATGTGTCTTGCACAAAGACAGCCAGATGACAGGTTGTGTCACAGCTTCATGGCAGAGGACCCAAGCCAAAGAGACGTGGATACTGAAAAATCAAAAAAAAAAAAATACTAGCCAGTGGCTCTTGAGTGCATGAATACCTTTTAGCTACTTAATCGTTGTGTTCCTATTTGGCATATTTTAATATGTAGAAAAGTTGTGTATGGGCACATGTGAAAATACTGGTCTAAAAACAGTAAAGACTAGAAATCCATTTGAACAGACATCAGCTATCTCACTACTTTCAAGAAAAATGCTTTTCATGTATGTTACTCTTAATTTGATTTTTTAAAACACAAATACACTTTTAATGTGAGAGTTTGCATTCAAAAACATTTTTTCATCTTTCACTTTGGGCTTTTGGAAACAATTGACACAGTCAAAACAAAAGGTCCATTAGAGGGATTGTGAGACAGTCTCGCTGTGAACTCTGTTAGACACATTGTGATACTAAATCTTATTAGACATATTGTTACACTAAACCCTATTAGACGCATTGAGAAACAGTCTCACCTTAAACCCTATTTTACTTATTTCCTGGCAGTTCTTTAAAAACATGCACGTGGTCAGAATACAGACAAGGTGGTTATGGGGTTGCTTTTTAAAGGCACCATAGTAGGACTACTCAGTGTAGCCAGATGAGACCTGGCAAGCAGTTACCTGTGATGCTTAAGTAAGCAGTAGTTCTCCACGATAAAACTGAAGGACCGACCTCACACAGAGTTTCAGCAAGTACAACCTCTCTAGCCAGGCTCTGCTATCAGGGATTCTTCAGGATGTGGGCAAGGACTGGCATGAGCAGCTCCTGACTCACTCACCCCAAAATAAAACAAATGGAATCCATGCATCCTGGGGGTTAGAAGAGAAGAAGACTTTATACACACACACTCCATGCTATGTATACCACCAGTTACCTCTCCAGTAAAAGATGCAGGTCCTCCATTTCTGATGGTACATGATTGCTCCATGTTAGTCTAGCTAGAGCCTGGATCATCTTAAAATATCTAATATTAATAAAGACAGGCGTTTCCTATTTGCTAAAAACCACAAGCAAGAATATATTTAATCTTCTTAAACTTATGAAGATTTTAAATTGATGCATAAATAATTGAATTTAGTAACAAAAACAGCCATGGCTTACCTGACTGTGATTCTAGCTACTGTCTGTTAATAATGCACAACGTCAGATATCTTCATCTGCCAGTGAGGTTTCTGCAGAAGATTAATGGGAAGTACACCCTTACAAAAATCACATCAAAGTATTTAAAAATTCATGTTAGCCTACAGCTTGCAATAGTGCATGTTCCAGTCTATGAATTGCATGGTCTCAGTTTATATTCTAAATGGTTAGCTCATACTAAAGAGACAAACTAAGCAAGCTTTAAAATGTTGTGGGTGTTTTTAAAGCATTGATTAATTTTATTCTAAGAATCTTTATTCAGGTACTGTAGAGAATCTAAACTTTAAAATTCAGTAAATAACTTTGAAATGGTTATTTTAATTGTATTTCTCATTGTTTCCAAAATAGCTGTCAGTTTAGAATTCTTACTCAGTAAATAGAATATAATACTGTTTCCGGTTAGGATATATGTTTTCTATAATCAAACAAAATTAATTTTACCATAATTGTTAGGGACTCTTTTCAGAAAACTATCGTAAACATCACTAAAGAATGCCATACCATTTTCGCAATAGACCCCGTCCCAGCAAAGCAACATTTTAGACAATGGACAAGAAGATGTCTCTCCTAGTGGCCAATGGAATCCTTACCCACTTGGGAGGCGGGATGTACCTCCGGACACCATTGCTAAAAAGGTAATCAATGTCAAGTCGACACAAACCATGAACCTCACACATTCATCGTAATATGTAGTCCATATCTTGTGTCTTAACATCATTTCTAACTTCATGGTAAATTCAGGCTAAATACTCTGCCACTCTAGGACTTCTGGTCGACTGTCAATGCATTGAGAAGGAGGGAGGTTAACACAGCCTGGTGCTCAATTAGTAATGGCTGCGAGTAAATTTCCTGCCCCTCTGCAGACTCACCATTTGTATTGTACCTTAGGACACACTGCACTGAAATGCAAGTACAGAAAGATGTGTTGCATGCACATTCAGCTAGCCTTGGCTTTAGAAGTACACATAAACAGCTTCCATAAAGTTATATTTACCGTAAAAAGGTTGACTTGCCACACCTAAAGTCATATCAGGGCCAGTAGGATGTCTCAGTATGTAAAGGTACTTGCCTTCAAGCCTGCCTGGCTGATTTCGATCCGCAGAACCCACACAGTACAGAGAAAGAACTAATTCCCACATGCTGTCCTTTGACCTCCATGCACGTTCTATAGCACAATATGACCACACATGCACATACATAATCAGTAAATAAATACAATAAAAAATGTTAAATGTTGTTAAGGCTTGTCCAGCAAGCACTCACTGGGTGACGGTACACACACTACATGCTAAGCATTTGTTTGGTGCAGGAAAATAAAAGATGAATACAAGCCTCAAAAAAATCTCTTAACCTAATGGGTGGTGCAGTGAATGGATCAGACCATTATATGTCACCACAGAAAAGTGCAAGAAAAGCTGCAGTGTGTGAGACAGTGTGTGAGGAAGTGGGTGTCTGTGCTCCTTGCTGTACTTTTAAGCACTTAAAATCAATTTTAAAAAAAGATATAGAACTTAGTTGTTTTTAATTAGTAAAATACAAGCAGCACTGAGAGGGCAAATCAGTTAGTAAGTATCACATCAAAGCCAATCCTTTTTAACAATCAAGGAAATAGGAGCAATATCGTTTTTCATCTACAGGCTACATAGGGAGGTCTGGGGCACACAAGCTGTTTGTTTCACACACAAAAATCCTTATATGCCTGTAGGAACACAGGGCACAACCACTGTGGTGACAAGTCACACAGTTCAGTTGCTCAAGTACGCTCTAAAGCAAGCCTCTAAAATCATTAAACCAAACCTTTAGTGTCATTCAAGGTCATGTAACATTTACCAGAAAACTAAACAGATTCAATTATCTGTCAGCAGGAAAATGCAAATTTTAATGCTTACAAAAAAGAATATTTTACAGAACCAAACAATGAGTAAATTTGGTTATGAGAGTGAGCATAAGCCCTAAAACCATAGCCAGAAACGTTTCAGGAGAGAATCCCAAGCAGGATTAGATTTGTGCAGGTCTAAGACATGAGAAAAAATATTTTTGTGATGACATGGTAAACATTGCATGTAGAATTATGCATACTTCTAGGGGGAGCACTGGGGGAGACTCGTCCACCCAGTTGTAACTATTACGAGCTCCAATATCACATTGTAACAACACTTTATAACTTATGTACATTGTAACCTAGATGATTTTACCCCCTGATAAGTTAGTCAGTTTTAAAGATATACATTTGTTCCAGAAGAACTGTTAAGTTACCTCCAGACATCAACCATGCCTTGGGCAATGTCCTGCACAATGTGAAGTGTGCTGTAAAGAGTTGCACACTGCAACCATGCCCAGAAAGGACATCATTTGGGTGAAATAGAGGGAGCTAAGGTCAGGGCATAGTGTCCAATCAGCTAGAAAAATAAGCAGAAGTCAGATCATGTAGGCTATATCCTATAGGATATGGGAAGGGGAACGTGGAAACATTTTCAAAGGGAAATGACATGATTCGGTGTACATTTAACCAGTTCTCTGGCAGATTTTCAGAGAACACACTGCAAAGGACAGAGCTTAGAAACAAAGCAAGCTAAGAAGCCTCTCCGACTATTCAGAGGATTTGGAAACATAGTTTATAGAGAAAAGTGCTTAGATGCAATAGAAATCTGACAGATGGAGCCAGGAGTATCTTGTGGAGAAGCCTTTCACGTAATCAGTAGGCAAACTGGGATTGGGATAAATTATATGTACTTTTAGAAGAGTCAGTTATGTTTTCTTTTCTAGGAAATGCATCCAGCAATGTCTTTTTTCTATGCTGGGGCAGGAGAGATGGGTCAGCAGTTCTAAGGATATTCTGCGTTTGTGGAAGGCCTGAGTTCAGCTCCCAGGAACTGCCTATTATTCTAGCTCCAGGGAGATCCAATATCTCTGGTCCCCTGTGAACCCCTGCATATATATGAACATGCCCACACAGAGACACACATGCCCATAGATATATTTCAAATGGTTAAATAAACATCTTTGAAAGAACAAATGTGCTAATTAGATTTACTATGTCTTATTGCTTTGCTGTTGACAAGAGAGAGACAGAGACAAACAGAGAGAGACAAAGAGTGATCCTAGAGAAAGGAAATGGAGATTGTTTAATAGACGGAGATGAGAGAGAGGGAAGGGAGAGGGAAAGGGACTGGCCTGCTTGTTAAACAAGAATTATATAAAGCCTAAAATTCTATGAAGATGAAACTCTACAGAGGCAGCTACATTGTAATAGCTGAGTCAGAAAGACAGCTTTGAAGAAGCAATTATTTCCCTTTTTACTGACTCATCTCAAATATTTGTTTTGATAATCCAAAAGACTTAGGACAATGTAGCCCTATTGGTGGTTTTTAATGTTAACTAGATTGCATAAAATTTTTAAAACCTTACTCTTTATATTATGTAATTACAGTTATTCTCAAAAGTAATGTGGGTAGGAGCTTGTGAAAACATAAATCAAAATCTCTTCCAAAGCAGAAGTAGCAGGCAAATGGCAGGTGTTTAATGTGACAGTCATTGTCCTGGGTTCTTTATTTCCTGATACCAGTGTGGCCATGCAGTAACCATGAAATCAGGGAACCCTTCTTATCCCAACTGACTCTGAATTATCCCTTTCATGAAAGTACAGACCCAAAAATTATCTATTAGATATCAAGTCAGTGGTAGAAAGTAAGCTTGTCAGATTAAAGCAATGGAAAGAATCAGGTCAAAATGTCTCACCCATCAATCTTTGTCCCATAAAGCAAATGATTACTCTTCTTCAGAAACTTGAGATAAATCAGTCACATTCACATTGTAAATTATAAAATTAACGTAACACCACAAAAAATGCCCATGGCCAACTGTGTAGCCAGAAGACATAGATAACACAGCAACCGGGAGTCAAGGGATTCAGTTTCTTGTCACATGGTTATTATCCCTCTCACCCCATTATGCATAAGTTCTTAAAAACATTAAGAGAGAGAAATGGCTCATAGCTTTCATCACTGTTGCTCACGTCTCCTGTCTCATCTCTCTGCCGGGGGAACGTGTGGCCGTACCATCAGAAAACACGGCAGGTTTAAATGAACAGCCATGTCCTGACTTTTGCCACATCCCGCTCTTAACGGTTAACCCATTGCTTTCCCCCTCGCATTAATAACTTCCAGTTCCGTGGCTGTGGTCCGTAGGTTGGCATTTAATCATAGGACAACGCACTGATAGGTATTCAGTAAGGCGCAGATGACTGCCCTCACATCGACCAGCTGCTGCCCCGTGGTACAGGGCACCAAAGGGAGAAGCCCTGCACCTCACCTATCATCTGTCATTAGAGACAGAGTGGTGTGTCACCTGCATCTAGCTGAAACCTGCGAGGTCAGCAGGGCCTGTGAATGCCCCCTCGTACTGCAGGCATGCCGCCAAGCCCTGTGAGGCAGCAAGTGCTCTCTGGCACCCAAGTGTGAGGACAGGTTTCGGACACCAAGCACAGATTAAAGAGAAGACGTCGTCGTCTTAACACTAGCTTTGGGGATCTGTCATAATTGTGAGTATGTGCAGTGCAGAGCGGCGCTGTGGTAAAGTGCTTGACAGGAAGTCTCGCATTTTGCCTTCACAGCTTCGTGAGACAAGGGCTTGGCCGTGTGGAATTGAGGAGCAGGGAATTAGAATCCAGTGTAGTCTAGGCATACGGTGTGCTCCGATTTCCCTTGTTGGTATATGTTCACTGTGCTTCGTGATGAGTTAAACATGGACGTGTGTGTTTTAAGCACATCCACATACGCCTTCCCCAAACCTGCTCCCTTTCCCAAGAGCCTCACGGACCCTACACAGTTTTGTTTCCACTTTCATGCCATACAGATGTTCATCGTGTTATGCATCTCTCTGAAACCTAGAAACCGAAAAATGAGAGAAAACATTCCTACTAAGAGCATGTCTGTTCCTTACGGTTGAAAGGGGGCATCATTTTTGTAGATAAAACACATTTTCTTTACCCATTCACCTGTTACTGGATGCCTGGGTTGGTTCCCTAACTTAGCTGTTGTAAATGGGGTTGCAAAAAGCTTTTTGTGTTCAAGACTCTACGATGTGTCCACTTGGAATTCTTTTTTATTCTGTTTTTCTTTTTTTTAGGAGCACTCTTACTTACAGATCCATCTCCCCATTCCCTCGCCCTCCCATCCTCCCATGCTTCCCACCGACCCCCCAACCCACCTACCACCCACTCCCCAGGGATAGTGAGGCCCTCCATGGGGGATCATCACATCATTTGGGGGAGGGTCCAGGCCCTCCTTCCCATATCTGGGCTGCACAGGGAAAGGGCTCCCAAAGTCCATTTGTGACCTAGGAATAAACCCTGGCTCCCCTGTTAGAGGTTCCATAGACTGCCTTGGCCTCCTAGCTGGCACCCACATTCGGAGAACTTGGTTTGGTCCAATGCTGGTTCCCCAGCTTTACAGCTAGGGTCTGCATGCTCTCGTTAGGCCAGGTCAACTGTTTCTGCAGGTATCTCCAGTTCCATCTTGGAATTCTTTGTTAGCACTCATGAGTGGTACAGCCGAGTCACATGACAAGTCTGTTTTCAGTTTTCTTAAAAGCCTCCACACTGATTTCACAGTGGCTGCACTAGTTTAGATTTTCA